CCGTCCAATCAGCCTTACTTCTTTTCTATTGAAAGCAATGGAAAAAGTGATTGATAGATTTATACGGGACGGTGCACTGGGAAGCAATCCCTTGCATGAATCTCAATACGCCTATCAGTCGGGAAGGTCTACTGTACTCGCTCTGCAGAGTCTGGTGGGGGTCCTTGAAAACTCACTGGAAGTGCGGGAGGTAGCAGTTGGCTGCTTCCTTGATATAGAGGGAGCTTTTGACAACACCCCATATCATGTCATCTGTGAGTCGTTGCACAAACGAGGGATTGATGCGACGACTAGCAGATGGGTCAATCGGATGCTACAGGATAGGATTATTAAGTCCACCATAGCTGACGATATACTCTTCATCTCCGCTGCAAAAGGATGTCCGCAGGGCGGGGTTCTTTCGCCCCTCCTGTGGTCCATTGTAGTGGATGATCTAATAGCTGCTCTCAGGGGCTCCGGGGCGCGTGTCTGGGGATACGCTGACGATGTGGCCTTCGTCGTGCGGGGAAAATTTGAGAGCACTATTTCTGATCTTCTACAGCAAAATTTACGTGTTGTGGAAAGGTGGTGCAAAGGCGTTGAGTTAAATATAAATCCAAGCAAGAGCACTTTGGTCGCCTTCACCAGACGCAGAAGCAGGGACAGATTAACGAGCCCAATTCTGTTTGGTGAACGTATTAGTTACTCGAGGGAGGTGAAGTATCTGGGGGTAACCCTGGATGATCGTCTCTCTTGGAATACCCATATCGATAGAGTTATCGGGAGAGCTACGGCGGCCTTGTGGACGTGTAGGAGCTTCATCGGGGGGACCTGGGGAATTAGTCCCAGAATAGCACTGTGGCTATATACGGCCCTTGCTAGGCCCATCGTCACCTATGCGTCGATTGTATGGTGCCGTAAAGCTCAGCAGGCGGGTGTGCGGGCCAAGCTGGAAAAGCTACAGAGGCTGGCCTGCCTGGGAGTGACCGGGGCGATGCGGACGGCTCCCACCGCTGCATTGGAGGTGATGATCGGATTGCCGCCACTGCACCTCCATATATTGAAGGAAGCTCGGCTGGTGACTTACCGACTTCTCTCTGGCGAGGACGGGGCAGGGCTAAAGTTGGCCCACAGAACTCACAGAGACTTCATTGAGGGCGATCCGATTCTAAGGATAACCATGTCAGATACCTGTCTGCCGCGGTACAACTTCGACCACAAGTACAGGGTTCTGTTTCCTGATCGATGGACGTGGGATCGGGGTGGTCCGGTACTTAGGTCGGGTTCGAGCGTGTGGTATGCGGACGGATCCAAAACGGAGTCGGGTGTGGGCTCGGGCGTATACGGTGTCCGCCCGGACACGCGTGTATATGCAACCCTTGACCCGTATTGCACAGTGTTCCAGGCCGAAATACATGCAATAGAGATCTGTCTGAGAATCAATTTGGAAAGGGGGTATAGAAACCGCACCATCTATGTGTTCTCAGACAGCAGGGCTGCACTGCTGGCGCTCCGTTCAGCTCAGGTTACATCCAAGCTGGTCTGGAGCTGCCTTGCTGCACTTGTGGAATTGGCATCGGAAAACAGAGTGATGCTCATTTGGGTGCCGGGCCATAGTGGCCATGCGGGCAACGAAGTTGCCGATGAGTTGGCGCGGAGGGGATCTGGGGCTGCCTTTGTGCAGCCGCTGCCTTTCTGTGGTCTGCCTTCTTCCGCCGTGGGGGCCAGGCTTGCCTGCCTACTCGCGGCGGAATGCAGTCGTCACTGGCGGGACACGAAAGGGTGCCGTCATGCGAAGGTGTTTGTTCCGGCGTGCTCCGGCGGATTCGCTGCGGAGTTGCTGGGGATGAGCAGGAGCCGGGTTCGCACTATTGCGAATTTCTTCACGGGGCACTGCCCGGTGAAATACCACCTGCACAGGCTGGGGAAGTCGGGCTCCCCCCTGTGCAGATTTTGTGGGGGTGGCGATGAGACCGCCGTGCACATTCTCTGCGACTGTCCGGCACTGGCTGTTCGGCGCCGCAATTGTCTTGGACATGGGTCCCTAAGTGTTCGGGAACTATTGTCCAACTCCCTTAGGGATATCTCCGGCTTTGTGATTGGGACGGGGATATTATAGACGGGAGGGTGGGGTGGCTACAATAAGTCAAAAATGGCTGCGGTGGCTTGGGGGATGCTCCTGTCCCCACTCAGTTCCCTTAGAATCTACAATCTACAATCTACCTGAAATTGGTCCGAATTGGTCCAATTACAATGGGGTTGTCTCCTTGGCACAAAAGAAATAACTTATGAAAGTTTAGTGTCGATTGAATTATTCATTTTTGAGTTACCGTGCGAAAGGACGGACGGACATAGCTAAATCAACGCAGAATTTTACGCTGAGCAAGAGCATATATACATGTCCATATCGCAGATGACTATTTCAAGTGGTTACAAGCTCCATATCAAAATTAATATATTCTTCACGAAGGTGCAGGGTATAATAATATAATATATGCATTTCTTAAGAAAAATAAGATATAAAAGAAAATCAACATCTTTCATTGTTGTATAGCAAGTGCTCAAAACTCAGAAACCATTCTACAGAAACTTCACGAATATATCTGAGCTATAATTGAACACACGACTGCCAAGTTTCATGAATCTGGCTTTATTATTTTTCCAAATATTTACAATTAGCTTATGGGCTTGTATGGTAGCTACCCGAACCTATCAAGCAATTTCACCAAAACTTCAAGAATATATCTGGTCTATAAATGGATACCCCACCGCCAAGTTTCATGGATCAGACCTTAATATTTTTTCAAATAATTAAAATTTGGTTTTGGAGTTGTATGGCAACCACCCGAACAAGTCCAGGGCTCTCTTTAAAATTTTAAGGGTATATGTAAAATGTAATTGGACACACGTATACAAAATTTCATAATTATAGCTATTATTAGTTTTTGAAATATTTACAATGAACTCTTTGAGTTGTATGGCAGCTACACGAACCTGTTGTCCAAATTGATCCAATTACAGCAGGTTTCGTCCATTGCACAAAAGAAGCAACTTCCGAAAGTTTGGTGTCGATTGCTTCATTCATTTTTGAGTTGTCATGCGATCGGACGGATGGACGGATGGACGGACATGGCTAAATCAACGCAGAATTTTACGCTGAGCAAGAATATATATACACATCCATACCGCAGATGACTCCTTCAAGTAGTTACCAACTCCATACCAAAGTTAATGGACCCTTCACGAAGGTGCGTTTAACATAATTTAAGATTAAATATCGTGAACTAAGAAAAATAATTATGTTTTTGATGACATGACATTTACCGTTAGCTTTCTGCATTTATGGAAACTTGGAGAAGCTTGCAGTTCCAGAAGTATAAGCTGCCAAAAATTAAAACTTCTCAAATTTCATGAGATGTTAACTTGAGAACGGGTGGAGGGAGGAAAAAATGTTTTTTCTTAAGAAATAAACCATCTACTGATATCTAAGAGTTTCTAAAATTTTAGACTCTTATAAGTTACGGTTTAAAAAGAAAACCGATATGAAAAATTCGAAAAAATGGGCTTTTGATAACGGTTAATTTTAGCAGCCATTTTTACCGACCGCATTGTCTATACAATAAGGTAGGTTATGTGATGGCAAAAAAGTTTGCATATCGAGTTTTTTGTTGGAACGCACTTCTCTATGGTAGGGAGAGCTTAACATACGCTTCGCTCGGCCATTTCGCACCACCTAACTTTTGGAAAATCGACCAAAATCAAAAAGCCATAATTTCACATTAATTGTGTTTAACAAAAACGTTTTAATTCCTAATTGTTCTAATTGCCATGGGTAACCTATTAAATAAGCACATAGAAACTACTGTATTGTGCGTATGAGTATCTATCATTCTATTTAAAATAAAGTTAGGTTTAATTAAATTGTTAATTATTTTATGAAATATGTCAACGATGTGAATTTTGAAGAGTTAAGGACATATAATTCTATTACTAATATATTTTTAGCAGAAAAATGTCGTGGTCGACACAGTTGAGAATCTTTTCTAAATCTATAAAAAAATATACCACGAAATTACCTGCATCAAAATTGTTCGCAATAAAGTTTGTTTAACAGAGGCACGCCGCTGTATTATCGGAATCGCTCCCGAAAACATTTTGAATCCTATTTAATATGCTGTTGTTCTTCAGGTAATCATTATGATGATGTTTAATCACTGTTTCAAACATTTTATAAGGGGCACTTCACATAGAGATAGATACGAGGTTGAACCCGCCTTGTGAACTGTATTCACTATTGCAACTTAGATGCCAATTTCCCAGAGAATTTTTATATAAATTTCGCAGAGATATTAGGCCTCAGGCCAACAATAATCTGTTTAACCTGCTCTCATTCGTTGGGGACAAAGAAAAACTCTCACCAACCATTCTTTCCGGGTTACCAATATATGACGGATCCACTGAAAACGAAGAAACATATTTCATCAGTGACATTTATAAAGAACGCGTTCATTAATTTATTCCTGTGAAGGTTATATTAGATATTGGCTTGTTGGATTAAAATTGTTATGCTCTAAATAACACGAGATTTAATATAAAACCGTATTTGACTGTTCTGACAATCGTGTGAACTGATAAATTAAACCTAAATTAATCTAAATTAAACCACTTGCTAAAGGCAAATCAGTTTCAACACGATCTCTACCGCGTCGCTTAGATTTATTTACTCTTAGTGTGTAAATGTGAAAATGGCGGAGGTGCGGAGAGATATGTGGAAACTTTTAAATATAGAATTACTATATTATATTATACCATATAACTTTTGATATTTGAAATATACTAATCACTCTGTTAATATTCTTTTTAATATTTTAATTATAATTTTCCTTTTTCTTTCTCTTTATCATTCTATTCAGGAATATTTTATTTAATTTTTCTATTAAAGATTAAATATATAATATATTTCATATTTTAGTTAATATTTTTCCTCTTCTTTCTCTTTTTCTTTATCATACTATATTCAGGAATCAATCATTTCCGCATCAAATCATTTATATAATGTATTAAATAAACGTGCATCATTTGGTAGTATTATTATAAACATACCAGATTCATGGCCAGATGAATGTATTACATCAATGAATAGTACAATTGATATATCAAACGGCCAAAGAAGTGATGTACAGATAACAAATATAAATCAATTATTTGGTGATCGTATGTGGACATTACAATCTGGTGGATGTGGTGAACAAGGTGAACAAATTTATATAACGTATAATGAATTAGAACAGAAACAATCAAATTATATTGGTAAAGAATTTGTAAAACAGTGGGCAAAATATCGCTATGGTATATTCGATGAAATTGGTTTCGAGGATGATAAAATATATCCAAAATGCTATTTCACAAATAATAAACAATATATAAATGGTTGTTTAAATGAAGAAATTGAAGATATTTCGGGGTAAGTAAAATACATAACATTTATTATTTCTTTTTATACTCGTATCACAAATGTAATGTACCTATTTAGCAAAAACACAAAACTGCATTTAAATTAGAATTAATGATATGTAGTTTTAAGTTAATGAAATTGTAATCGTTACCCGCATGTAACGATTGAAAAAAATTCATTTAATATAAAAATTGCTTTTACCATGCAAAATTATGGTGTCTTATTAGATTTATGACTTTAAAATTGAAATAATACTCATTAATACATAATTCGGCAAACACAACCGATAAGCTGAATTCTGTATTAATACCATATTATTGCAATTTTAAGGTCAGGCTATTTCAGATATCATATTTGAATTAATTTAAAGAATACTAAAAAAAATCAAATTTGGGTTATTGTATCTTTTATTTAAAATCATGGTCAGCAAAATTTTTCAGAAGTCGTTTTTCTCATTCTACTTTATTAAATTTCGGCGGTTTTGCGTGTATTGCTTCTAAGATATATGAAACATTAAAAATAATTTTTCTTATTATTTTATGTAGCATTCAAATATATATACAAACACAGTTACTAACAAAATATTTTCTCTTCTTTTTTCTTTTTCAAATTTTTATCAGATACTGTCAAAATTCTAATACTAATAAAGATATAATAAAATTAATTAATAAAAAATCAACAATTAGATCAAATATAATGTTTACAATGGACTCTGATAATATTATTGAATTTTGTAATAAAACCACACATAATCGTTATATCCCAACAAAACATAATTTATTATGTAATCGTCAAAGTGCATTTGATGTTATTTTAAAACATAATGATTTTAATCATAATAATAATTATAATATAAATGATAATATAAATTTTACATTATCAAATACAACTTCAATTCTATTAGGATCAGAATTACCAAAACATTTTACAAAAAATAATGGTAATAATTATATTGCTAATAGTAATAGCAATAAAAGTAATTACATGAAAAATAATGATTATATTAATAATAATAATAACTTAATAACAAATTTTTTTTATAGAAAACGTAAATTAACACGTTTTATAATAATTATTGATGAATCACAAGATATATTGATACGTGAATCATGGAATTTTTTACGTAATGCAATTCGTAAATGGGTTGTTTATGATTTAAAATCAAATACTGAAATGGGTATTATATTATTTAACGGTTTAAATAATAATAAAATATTAAATATAACAAAATTAAATGAACAAAATAAGCGTGATTTAGTTGCATCATTTATACCATACACACCGTCTGATTCAAGACAATTTGGTTCACTATTATTAGCATTTAATATGTCATTAAATATGTTAACAGAACAACGCAAATTATATGGTAATGCTAGTGATAATATATTAATAATATCACCAGGTATGGAAGCAAATATTAATCACAATTATATTATTAGTAAAACAAATCAAATGAATATTAACATAATAACAATTAATTATCCCTATATAACAAATGATCGTATACCATTAGATATATTATCAAAATTAAATAATAACGGTTATTATCATACAATATTAGAAAATAAATATAATAGTGAAAAAACATATTTAAATACATATTTTGAATTAGTTAATATATTATATTTTATTGGTAATAAATATTATGAAGGTGATATTAATAATTTGGCAATTGAAATACATCGTAACGAATTATTGGATAAAATTGATAGTAATAATAATAATAATAAAAATAATAACAATAATAATAATAATATAAACAATAATAACAATGATAATTTAAAAAATATAATACATAATTATGAAAATAATAATATAAATATAAAAAATATAAAACAACGTTCAAGTAATATTATTAATGGTAATTTTTATTTAACAAATAATTTAAGAACATTACAATCATCGTTATCCGATGGTTTTTTTATATATACACACAGTATAGAACAACCATTAATACAAAATATTAAATTAGTAAGTCCAACAAACATAATATATAATATAAGAAGTGATTTAAGAATGACAGTTAAACAATTAACAATATTAACAAATTTAAATGAAACTGGTATATGGTCATATCAAATAGAACGTTTTAATGGTAATCCACAACCACATTATGTACAAGTATTAGTAACACCAAATAAATTATTATTATATAACAATAATTATAATAATTATAATATAATACGTGCACGTTCATGGATTAAAATACCAAAATATATAAATAAGCCATATATTATATATTGTGAATTAAAATTAGACAATGATTATCCAATTCATTCCAATTATGTTGAAGTAATTGTAAAACAGATTGATTATATGTGTAACACTAATGTAACGACAGCAACAGCAACAACTTCAACAACAAATAATTGTTATACAACTAAAAAGATATTATTATATGATAATGGCAGTGGTATGCCAGATATAACAAAAGGTGATGGTATATATACAAGATATTTAAATTTATATGAAAATGGTATTTATAAATTTGATTTTGTTATTAACAATAACAATAATTTAAAAACATCATATTATACATCATTATATAATAATTATAACAATAAAAATAATGATAAGAATAATAAAGTAATATTAAATGAAAAATGTTGTGGTTCATTTATAACAAAAAAATTAAAACAAAATTTATTAATACCATTTGAACGTTATTTACCATCAATAATAATACATCATAATAATAATGATTTTAATGATAATCAAAATGGTAATAATTTACATAATAATATTGATAATAAAATATATGGTTATATTGGTGATTTAAGTTATGTATATTTAAATGATAATAACGTTAAATTAATGTGGACATCACCTGATTTAAGTGGTTATAAAGGAATTAAATACGATATTAAATATTCATACAATATTAATGATATTATTGATAATTATGATCAATTAACTATGATATGGAATTATGAAAATAATATAATACCAATAATAAAACCGATTGGTCATGATATGGATTATATATTAGATATCAAAAATAATGATAATGTTACAAAAGAATTATATGGTAAAGAAATATATATTGCAATACGTCCATATATTAAATTAAATTATGAATTAATACCATGTTCAATATCAAATCCAATACGTATATTAATACCAAATCTTAAAAATAATACTAACATAAATAATATAAATGATATAGATAATCAAACTTTATTATATAATAATAACAATAACATAAATAATAATAATGATTTATTTCATAATGAATATGACATTAAAATAAAATACTCTATACCAATAATATGTGGTACAGTTTTTGTTATGTTAGTTATTATAATCTATTGTATATTTTGTGGTTACTGCAAAAAAAAATCAAAAACTAATAAAAATAATAATCATAGAAATATTTCAAAGAACAAATATAATAAAAAAAATAAATTTAATAAACATAATTTTTCCCAAAAAAATGAACAACATCTGCAACAGCATCAACAACATCATCAACAGCATTCATCAAATATTATTGTACCAGATGATATTATTAATATAACAATAATATCAACAAATACAACAACTACAATACCAAGAACTTCAACACCCACGTCAATAGCATCACAGTCGGAACAAAATAATTTTTTAGCAACAATTAATAATTTATATAATAATAACAATAATAATAATGATAATATTGAAACAATATTTTCATCATCATTGCCAACATCAAAAATTAATACAATTCCATCACAAAAATTTCACAAACAAAAAAAAGAACAACATGATCAAAAACATATTGATGTAATATCAAATAATTGTATTGATACAATAATCAATACAGAAAATGATAATAATTATGATGACGAAAGCATAATTATTAATGATGATAACAATACTGATAATAAAATTACAAAATCCTATAATCAATCATTATTATATAATAATATACATAAGAATGATAATGTGCAACAACAAAAACAGCATCCAGATCATCATACAATTGGTATACCAATATATGATTGTAATAATGATAATAATAATTTAATAATAAATAAAACTAATAGTAATATAAAAAAAAAACAAAAATATCATCATATATATTATAATCAACAACCGCATCTACAACAATTTCAACAAAATTTATTGAACGAACAATATTATATTATTGATGATAATACTATTAATAAACATGAATTATTACATAATAAACAACAAACTCGCAGTTTTATACCAACAATATATCAACAGAGTGCATCAAATTTGAATGATTATAACCGTAGTAATAATAATAGCAATAATAACGGTCTTAGTATAATATCATCATCATTATTAACACCAAATAGTAATAACAATAATATTAATAATAATAATAATAATAATAATAATATAAGAAAATATTCATCTAATTCATCATATATTGATTATCAAATCATAACAACTTCAATACAGTTACCAAAAACAGCAACAACAACAACAACAACTAATAGTAATAATAACAATTGGAATACACCATCAACATCGCCGTCATCATCATTATTGTTATTAAATCATCCTAATCATAATCATCAATCATCATCATTAATAAATATTATTAATAATAGTGATAATGATAATAACATTACATTAAAAGACAATAAAGCATTAACAATACCACCACCTGTGCCACCATTACCACTGCCATATGATATAACAACCAAAACGATAGATAATATAGAAAAAATAGGAAAATTAAAATCTAGCAATATTTGTAATATAGATTATTTAATAAGTAATAATAATAATAATAATAGTAACAGCAATTGTAATACTTTAAATAAAAATTATGATACACAATATTATTTACAACAACAGCAACAACAACTAAAACACCAAACGCAACACCAACAACAACATGATAAACGTCGAAGAAATGTTACCATGGTATAGGAAATATTTAGAAAAATAGAAGCAAAAATTACATTTGGGATATTTTTTTTTTATTTTTTTCGATTGTTCTTAATTTTATTATAGGTAAATAAAGTTTAGGAGAAATTGTTATAAAATGCTTAAACATATCAAAGTAGTAAATACGTTATGTAATTTCAGAATATAATGTATAATTTATTGAATAAAAGAAAATGTTTTAAAATCTTTATATAACTAATTCCCCATATAACAAGATTCTCCAATTTACCGAACCATTTGTTTTTATAACTTATTTAATATTATGAACAAAACCTATTATAAAACTTTGTGTATTCGATATATTATACCGTATTTATGTATAATTTTTTGGTAAAATGTTTGAAAATTATTCAAACTAATATTAATTATTTGAACATTTTTTACTATGACATTTTTATTAATACAAATGTGAACTTACTTTAATTTTAATTATAACTTTTAAGAATCAGATTTTTTTAATCTATATTGTAAATTTAGTAAACCGAATTAAGACAGTATTAAAGTTTTAAATTGTTAATATTTTTTTATAGTAGAATTGTAATATCATGTTCATGGGCTGTTCACATATCATGTAAGGGTCTAGAAACAAGAAGGAGGGGATTTTTCGCAATAGATTTTTAAAATGAGGGTGTGAGAAAAAGGGAGAAGGTCTTTGAAATAACAAAAATTGCCAATGACTTCAAAATTGCAATTATACGGTATTAATACGCTATTTACCCTTTGAGTTATACTTAACTGAATTCTGTAGCTAATAGTTGTTTTTAAATTTTACGAGCATTACATTATATGTGAACAACGTCTTAAAGCTCTTCAATTTCTTTTATAAGTTACTCCTTTTAATATACATACAAATATATAAAGTTTATAATATACATATAAATGTATAAGTATTGTATAGGATAGTATAAAGTTTTCCTTTTATTACTGTTTCATTTTCTTGTTTTATACTTTATTATTATTTAATACCCGCCGGAATCAGTAATTATTAATTTCAAAATTAGAAAGTATATTAGATTTAGTTTTTTTTTATATTTTTGATAATAAATAAATTAAATTATAATTTAATTATAATAAATAAATTGAATTGAAAATTGAATTAATAAATTGAATTACGAGTATAATAAAGTGGGAGTAAATCAAACATAAAAGAATGCTATAATGTAAATAAAAATGAAAAATACTATCGTATTTGCGTATCAATTCAATACTACTACAATTTTCAAGTTAGGGATATTCTGACTTTAAAGTCGTTTTAAAATAATATTAATATATCATTCAGGTTATAAGTAATGATTAATGAATTTTGTATCAATACCGTATTACTGTAATTTTAAAGTCAGGGATGGTTAAAATAAAAAAAATGTAAAATTATCTATTTCTATAAAAATTTAACAGTACTTAAACAATTATTAATAATATTAAAAATATTTTTTTTTAAAAAAGTATTGTTTTAAACTCAAACGTTTCTAAAACTAAAAATGAATAATTTTTATAGAAAAAGTTTTTCAAATAACTTTTCATATGATTATATTATATAAGATTTTTAAAGTACAATAATAATAAAGAATAAAAAAGAAATAGAAAAAGTAAATATACTTCCTATTATTCATGTTTTTTTTTTAAATTATCTTTTCCTTTATCAAAAAAACAGGAGTGTGCCTGGAATATGCATGGAAAATTTATTGGCATATAATAGATCCTTATGTTTTTTTGGAGATATCATATAAATGGCATAAAGGGCAGCAATATCTTCGTCAATTTTAAAAGACAAAAAATATATGAAAAACCACACAATTAACATAATATGCAGACATTAAATGTGAAATAGCGTTATTCAAAAAAATTAGAAAACAATAATTGTCATTCGTAAATGTTAAACACAGAAAAAGGTAAAAAATGATGACTGGTTGAAAAACAAAACTAATAAAGTTTTCAATTTTAACCTTTGCCTTTCAATTAATCTTTTATTAAATTTGGCAACCAGTTTTATTGGTTCACAAAATTTAAAAAATTCAAAAATTAAATATTTTAATCCTAACCTTAAGAATCCTAACTAAGAAATATTTTAAATTTCTATCTTGTAAAATTTAACGGATCCATCATAAGAAAAAATATTTATATAACAACACTTTTTCAGCACTTTGAATTCTGTCGATACATTTTTTATTCAATTTTAAACCAAATACGAATCATATTTTCTCTCTATTTTCAATCGATGGCGCTGTAAGCTAATAATATTCAAGGTAATATACTTAATCAAAAGTAAAAAAACGTATAATATATTTAAATACTCTTAATGTTTATATTGACATCTTGTGAGTAATATTTAAGGTAATATATAATGCACGGTTGATAAGTTATAAATGGTATTATTTGGATTTGTACTACGTATTTCAATTTAAAATTAAAATTAAAAAAAATTGATTTAGTTAAATTTTTTTTTCGTTTAATTAAGTAACAATTTCATTTTCGTTTCATCGCCCCTGTGGGTATTATTGAAACTTTTCTACATAGTTTGGGTCAAACCAATGGTTTGTATTGTACTACTTTTCCCTTCAACAAGTGAAAATACTGTATATCCACGACACTATTCAAATTATTTTCATTCACAAACGAAACTATTTCTAGGATTGCATATATTTAGGATGAACGATTTTGCAGTATTTGAAATAAGCGAAAATTAAGATAAAGTGGGGTTCACATAATGCTCGATTTTAAGGGTTAATTGTTTGAGTAAAGAAAAATAATTATATTATTTAATGTCATGGAATTTACCGTTAGCTTTTTGGGTTTATAGAAATTTGAAAAAGCTTGCGATTTCGGAAATATAAGGTGTCAAAAATTCAAATTTTACAAATTTCAAGAGGCGATAACTTAAGAGGGGGTGGACATGGGAAAAAACTTTCTTCTAACGAAATGAAGCATTGACTAGTGTCTAAAAGCCCCTAAATTTCAAGCTTCTACAGGCTGGGGTCTAGAAGAAAAAAGACATCAAAAATTTGGAAGAAACGGACTTTAGATAACGGTAAATTTGAACGGCCATTTTGTTTTTATAAAGTTTAACTATAGTATACCGCGTTAACGGAAGCAAGTCGCTGCCTTTTTGCGTTTGCAAAATTTGACAAATGCTTATGGTCTCACTGCACTAAATAGTTAAAAAATGGCATTTTTAGGGTTTTGGGGGGGTATAACTTCTAGAAAGAGGAAGATAGGTAAAAATTTTGTTCTACGGATATAAGTTTCTAGTAAAGATCTATGTACATATTAAATTTCAGCTTTCTATCTTCAAGGGTGTAGAAGTTTTGTAAACAAAAAAAGTGTCCACGGGCGGACAGACGGACGGACAGAATGAAATTAATAAGCATTTTTTTTTGAAAAAATTTTTGGAAAAGTGCTAAAAATTAATATAATATGAAATTAGTACAAATATAAAACTAAAATTCAATTTATATTTAAGAGTATGTAAACAAATATTTGTAAAAAATAAATAATCTTAAAATATATTCCTTTATTCTTAGGTAATTAATTGAGTAAATTGAATAACCATCGCAAAATTTGATGTTAGATTAACTGATTTAATCTACTTGGTGTCAACAAAAACGACTGCAATTCACTTTTAAATCTACCTATTCTTTCAATGCTTTTCAGACTTTCTGGCAAATTATTAAAAAGGTTAGATCCTGTAATAGAAATTCTTTGAGAAGTAAGTATTGTTTCCCTTGATTAAACTCTAATGTTATTTCTATATCTTTTATACAGAATCCATGAGAATACCTCTCGATAGAAGTGATGATTCAGTAAACCATATTATTTAGAAGTTTATATACAAACAAAATTTTCTGATGCTGATAGATGCGTTTGATCAGAAAAATTTTGTTATTATGATATAATTGGAAAGTATTGTACAGTAGAGGTGAGTTCAATATATTCTTTATTATTTTATTTGGGCTATTCGATGCCCAAACCAGCGCTCCATAATAAGTTATAGAGTTAAAAAGAGCATAATACATTTTCATTTTTATATGTATTAGCAATTTGTTTTTATATTTATATATGATACCGTTGAGCATATTTAATTTTTTATCCAACATAGAAGTATGCGGCATTCAATTTAAGTTCTTATAAAGAATAAGACCTAAAATGTTATTTCCTCAACCTCTTCTAATACGCCATTTTCTACCCGAAGTTGAGTTGAATCAATAACTATTCTACCTGATAAGTTAATTAATTTTGTTTTTTCTTTGTATTTATCGGCAGTTTATTAATCCTAAAATATTTCAAAAGAATAACATGGTCATGTTCAATATCTAATTTAATTTTATAGGAATCATTTCCAAAGTAAAATAGGTTACAGACGTCAGCGAACAAGAATATTTTTCCAATATAGGGCAGATACTGAATGTCGTTTATGAAAATGAGGAAAAGTAAAGGCCCTAATATTGATTCTTGCGGAACCCCCACAAAAATGTTTTTCAACGTGCTTCTTAAATCCTTAAACTGAACGAACTATTCCTTCCCCTTTAAGTAACTTTTATTTAACATTAATTCATCCTGAGAGAATCCTTTAAATGATTTCCAAAGTAATAAGTCATGATTTATCGTGTCAAAAGCCTTTCCGAGATCTACAAACGCTCCCGTTACAACTCCAAATGATAATAATTTTTATCAAATCATATTAACTACGTTCTCAAGGTCATTTTGAGAGCCAATTTCCATCCTAAATCCGTACTGATATTGAAATAAAAAATTATTGGCGTGAATATGATGTTAAATTTAATGCATAATTTTTTCAATTTTTTATACATAATTTTTTCATATTGAAGACTCTATACGCATTTTTTTATAGTTTTTATTCCATTCCCATCCCAACCTACAAAATTTTTATTTTTTAAACTTTGTATAATGTCAAAAACATCAGGTTCGTTCACAGCACCAAAATGAAATACTGAGTAATTTACATTTAGAATACCAAATAAGCTAATAATATCGCAATGCGATGAACTAATTGAGTTTGCAGTCTTTTGTCCAATACCAACAAAACAATTATTAATTTCCTCCGCAATTAAAGTTGTATTTTTACTTTTATGTCATCACTTACCATAATAAAATTTGTTTGTGAATTTTTTGCCCTACAGTGCTATTTCTTAAATAATATATCAGATATTATTTAAGAAATAGCACTAATATAATTATAATGTTTTTCCATTAAACCATAAAATTTTATCGAAAATTTTTGACTAAAGGGTTACTCACGTCAAACTATCATTTGAGAAGTTATTATTATTATTATCTATTATTGATATTGATAGTTAATTTGGTGTGACTTACGTTATATAAAAACTGACAAAAATATGATAATTAACTCAACTAACTGCAGTATTATGAGAATATTATCAATGACCATTTATAATCACAAAATTAACTAATATATATATGTATATTTTAAATCAAAAATAAAAAGATATATCAGTTTCTTAATTTTACTCAGAGCCATCTATTGAGCTTAAATAAAATATGTTTGACGAATAACCAATCCTTATTAAACGATTTCTTGTAGAAGAGGGTCAAAATGTATCTTAAATATTATTATGTATTTTAAATTTAATATAAATGTGTCTTTGACATTATAAAAAAAATTAAAACTTTATTTTTTTAATATTCAAATTTTATTATCAACGTTAAAAAATTATAATTAAACTTTCATTTGCAAATATATTTAACATTTCATTTAGTATTATTATGGTATTTGCATATTATGAACGGGTAATTATTTTTTTTTAATAATATTAGTTTAAATTTTATAACTTATGATTTATAATTAAATGCTGACTTTACGCACGCAGTACTTCATTTATTACTTAAAAGTTTTAAAACGAGTTTCAAAATGTTAATTACAAATATTCACTAACAATTGTTGAATCATTTTCATTTTCAATTAACATTGTTCTTGACTGATTCTTATTATTTGAATTTTCATTTATATTTCTATTTGACTTAATTTCATTATTATTTAATTCGTTTTGACTTAAAAAACTAACAATACCAGCTCCAAATGAATCACCCAGAACATTTACCACTGTTCGAATACGATCTCTGGATAAGTAAAACAAATTAAATATTAAAATTTATAAATGGCAATCAATTTTGTAAAAAAACAATCATTTTTTTTAGGAAAACTGTTATAATGGATGTTAAGGTCATAGATTGGAAGAGGAATAATAGATCCATGGTCACCCAGGATCGGGTTTCCCGTCAGTTTTAATTGTGAGCAATTAGAAACTGAACATTCTGTATAATATACATACATGTATACGAGTATATTGCAAAATATTAACCATATACTTACAATAGCCAGTCAACTGCTATCACGAGAGAAATATCTTCCGCTGGTAATCCTATCGTATCCAAAACCATAACCATTGTAACTAAACCAGCTTGTGGTATACCAGCCGCACCTATACTTGCAGCAGTAGCTGTTATACTACAGAAAAAAAAATTAGCTTGCTTTTTTTTTCTATAAATTACCATACCTTACAGCAATAATACTACCAAATGTTAAATCAACATCACGGATTTGTGCAATAAATAATGCAGCAACAGCTTCATATAATGCAGTACCATCCATATTAATTGTTGCACCAATTGGTAATACAAATCTTGCAACCCTTGAATCAATATTATTTTTGTCTTCTAAACAATTTATTGTTACCGGCAATGTTGCTGAACTTTTTTAGTATTATAAAGAATTTTGGCAAGAAATAAATAAAAAAAATAAAAATAAAATTTATAAGTCAATTGAAACTCCACAATGGAAAACCGTTACCGTAAGTCTATCAAATTTACTTATGGGAATTATAATTTACTTAATGTTAAACTTGCATTCATAAAGATATATGGTGTAATATGCAGGGTGATTCAGAAAGGAATACAACAACATATACCATTGGTTAGAGCAGGCATGTCAAACAAGCGGACCTTTCAATCCTGCGGCCCGTTACGTTTTTGAAAATTGTGAAACTTAATTCTTATAATTTTGTTATAAATATTGATTTAGAAAGTGTTGAAAACAAAGTGAAGTTTCTGTGGGGGCTTTTCACACATCTAAAAACCAAACTTATGCATATGCGAAAAATACACAACTGCATGTACAACGTAGCCGAAACCGAATTTTCACGTTAGTTTGTTTCGAGAAGCGGAAAGCGCCTGTTCTAAAAATCAAAAACTTATATATTCGAACCAGTTTAATTTTGTTATATTTGTTAACAGTAGACCAATTAAGTGAACTCGAAATTTTTTGAATATTCTAATCAGAATAAATTACTAAAAACCGAATTTGAAAGAAGATTTTTAGAGTAGATTACCACATTAATTTAACCTATTTACTTTTGCATTTTCTATTAATATTGAAACAGTTGATGCAAATTTACAATTAAAATTGGAATCCTGTGTGATTCTGTATTGAAACAAGAATTTAAAGAAGTAGAAATTACTAAATTTCATAATTATTTACCAATAAATCAATTCAGCATGTTCGAAAGAAAAATCAATTTTAGTTATGTTTGAAAGCACATATTTGTGCGAAATAATAAAACTGAAAGATCAAGATTAACAGATCAACATGTTCAATCAATATTAAAAATATTAAAAATTATAACTGTGAATTAAATTCAACCAAATTTCGAAGACGTAGTAACAAAAAAACGTTGTTAAATTTAAAAAAAAAATTTTTTTATATTTTTGTGCGATTGTATTATTCGTATGTTTTAAATTTTGTTTTATATTGATAAATCAAAATTTCAGTATAATTTAGTAGTTTAAGTTTTTAGTGAGTGACCCGAAGCAAAAAAAAATTTCAAAAATATTGATTTTTCTGAAAATTTATTGTACTCGTATTTTAACAAAAACATTAAAATTCAGATTTTTTATCAAAATAACGGTTCTTAAAAATGTTAACTGTTTTTTAGAGTGATATCGCAATAAAAAATTTATAGTAGGTGATAAATACAGCTTTCAAAGTCAATAAAAATCAAAAATAATGACAATTTTTTGGTTTTTTAGATTTTATTAGGGTCTTTAAAATTTTGACATAGATAAGGCTTTCATTTTATATCTTCTATACCATAAAAGATTTTCCAACACATAGTGACTTAAGTTAAAGCTTGAAAAAGTGGACAAAATTCGAAGTTTCAAAAAAAACATAATCAAGCAACAGGTTTATTTTAAGCCTTTTACTAGGTGTTTCAGGAACTGTTTATTTGAAGCCCTTATCTTTTTCGCAACGGAAGTAATAATCAAAAAACTCGTAAAAATTTCCTGGAAATTCGTTAAAATCCCTGTATCTTGGAAACCCTTGATATTTCGCAACTAGCGCAGGACAAAAATTTTACCCATTTTCTACCATCAAACCAACGGTTTATGTTGTTGTATACCTTTCTGATTTACCCTGTATAGTGAATTACTATATATGGAATGTAAAAGTTATAAAAATTTTGAATTTTTTGATAAGAATTCGAATTTTAATAAGTTATAATAGCTATTACATAAAGCTTGTCATTACGACACCACTTTAAATACAAAATGGAGTCATATTCTACCTTCAAACCTTTCAATAGAAACTTCAGAAGAACTTCAAATTCAAAGCTCCCATCTTCTTGAAGCAGAAGATATTAACAAATTAATGTGTGTAATAAATATTTAACCAAATATCCCTAAAATTTTTATATTTCATAAACTGTCGAGCTGTGACATAATAATTCTAAACAAAAGTTTTAGAAATGCGACTGTACATAATATTGTATATAGTATATATATTTATTATATATATGTATATATATTTTCTTAACAATTTTTAAAAAGAATTTACCTTGATGCTGTCCCAAAAGCTGTAGCCATAGCTTGACTCATATTTGCAATAAATTTGTAAGGATTTTTTCTAGTCAATACAAAAAATATCAACGGAAGTATTACAAAACCATGAAATAGGATGCCACCTGCTACAGTTATAAAAAATAAACCAAGTTTACCAAATAAATCATCTAAACTTTCCAATTCAATAACTTTGGAACATATCAAAAATATAACACCAACTGGTGATAACCTAATATATAAAAATCATAAGAAAAAAGAAAATTATTATCGAAATAACAAAGAATATAATAATTAAAATGAAATTGAAATAATTTTTAAATACAATAACCATGATTTTCATTGAACTGAAGATGCGTATAAGCTGTATTTCGTTTGTATTTTTTATAAAAAAAACACTAAATTTTGTTCGTAATACAGAGCTAATGTATATAAAGCGCTTTTTTGTTTTTTTAAATGTTTTATTTATAAGTTGTTTTTGATAAATTTTTATAATTCAAAATAAAACTAATGAATATCTCTTTTATTATCATTTAACATACATGTTTACAACAGCAAATCTCTCATTTAAATTTAAAATATTTAAATAAATTTCCAAATAAATTTCTTTGAATTGTTATAGTTAAATAACGTTTAATAATACTATGGTTTTAAATATGCTTATAATTTTGCATTTCGTTATTGCCGAAAAGAAAGAAAAATACGTACTAGTTCTACGTTTGCATATATTTAGGATGAACGATTTATGCAGTCTTTGAAATAAAGCAAAAATTAATTTAAAAAGGGATTAACATAATGCTCGATTTTGAAGGTTAATTGCGTGAGTTAAAAAAAATAATTATAATTTTTAATGTCATGGATTTTACCGTTAGCTTTTTACGTTTATAGAAATTTGAAAAAGCTTGCGGTTTCGGAAATATAAGGCGCCAAAAATTTAATTTTACAAATTTCCAAAGGCGATAACTTGAGAGGGGGTAGAGATGGAAAAAAATATTCTTCCAACGAAATGAGCTACTTAATAGTGCCTAAAAGCTACTAAAATTTTATGCTCCCACAACCTGAGGTCTAGAAGAAAAATAACATCAAAAATTTGAAAAAAACGGATTTTAGACAACGGTAATTTTAAAAGGCCATTTTATTTTTTTTTAATTTAACTACAGTATGCCGCGATAGAAGAAGCAAGCCGCTGGTATTCTACGTTTGCAAAATTTGAAAAATGCTTATGGTTTCACTGCAATAAATAGTTAAAAAATATGCCAATTATTAACAAAAAACTATTCATATGTACTATAAATAATTCTAATTTACAAGATTAAATTATTTACATAAGTTTATTGATATAATATTTATACAAGACTTTCCTATAAAAAGAATTGTATATAATACTACGTTTGATAACACTGTAAAATAGATTGCATTCATTAACATTGCAGATTCTAACACATTAGCTGTTAAAATGCAAAAATAACACATAAATAAATTGTTTAACTCTAGATTTTCTTGCATGTATTGCGGTATGTCTGCATAAATTTTGTTTACTAAATAATGCCAAAATTTAAAAACATATTTTGATAATTAAAAAATTTTATAAAAAATATTTAAAATATCGTTATAAAAATAAAAAGTTAAGCAAATAAAATATACTTACCAAATAACCCAGCAAGTTATTTTCATCATAATTTTACTCATCTCGTTAAATACGTTTATTAAAGTTTGAGCTTCTGTTTTAACTGAACTTAAAGCTATTCCAAACGTAATTGATGCTACAACTAAGCCTAATATATTCATTCCATCAACGAATTCACCAGTCACCTTCCATTTCAATAAATCTATATATTACGTGAATATTTTAGAGACATTTTGAAAAAGAAAAAAAAATAGATAAAAAATATTACAAAAAAGAGATTAATAATTAAAAAGAAAAATTATTAATTCCCGTTTTTAAAAACAACGCTCTGTCCATTTTTAGAGACGTAGTTGGCCGCTTAACTTCACAAATCGATAACCGAATCAATTCTAATTCGTTGAGCGCATTTATTTTTTTCTCTAAATATTTATTTACATAATATATCTACATTTGATCGGTGTAAAATCCCTATGAAATGCATACGAGACGGCATTTCCAAAAATACGACATTTATAATTTAATACCGCATTTATGATAAAAAAAATTTTTTTCTTACCTGTTGTAAAATTTTTTGGTGGCTTTAATACAGTTTGATATTGTTTTGTACATGCTTGTATTAAATTTGGTGGAAACATATTTTTGATTAAATCTAGTAATGTATCAGTTGTTGTTATATTACGTTTTTTATTTGAAATGGCTTCACTATCATTATTTGAATTAATATGATCATTGAAATTTATTTTACCAGGCTTTATTGTTTGTACTAATATAATGCCTAATATAACAGCAATTATTGTTGTTATTATATAATAAATAATAGCGCGTCCACCAATTTTAGCAGATAATTGTAAATCTAAACTTCCAATTGCTGATATCAATGAAGATATTATTAATGGTAATATTAATGCTTTTAATATTCTTAAAAATATATCACCAATAAAATAAACATATGATATTTCTCTTGATGTAAATGATTCACCACGCACATTAATTAATGTAATACCCACTATAAAACCGATAATAACACCACTCATTGTTAATATTGTTAATAAATTAAGACAAATTATTTTCTTTATGGAATGCATGATTATAGTGATCTCACGTTTAACAGAATTTTTTAAACTTGATATTTTTTTCTAAATAAAATCAAAAATATCATCCTGTAATTATAAAAACAAAAATTAACATAAATGGATCGATTATTTTAATAGTGATTTAAATCCATTGATAATTTCAACGACAATATCCTATAGTTGGAATTATACATTATACATATACGTGCATTATGAATATTTCCATACTTTAATATTTTTATAAACTCAAATGCAAATAATTTACTTTTCAATACAATTAACTTAGATCACTTTCAAAATAAACGACTTAAATAAAATTTTTATATACTAAATAAGTTATAAAAATAAAATTCACTAAAATTCGCTAAACAAGTAAATAATATTTTTTGGAATTCCCATTTAAACTTACGTTTTTTTTAATATAAAATTTAGTTTTTTTTGCTTTAATTCTCTTTTGTTATCGAAAAACCAAAAAGTATATAAAACATCTATATAATTATGTAAATTAGAATAAAATAAAAGAAACAATTAAACTTGTTTTATAATTTGACATATACTATTCTGGATAATAAGTTACTGCTTATTACTAACCATAAAATATTTAAATGATATGCTGAATTATATATATTAATACATTATATTGTACTATATATCATTTAGATGTCAGTGTGCTGCTTAATTCAGTTAATAAATATTTCTTAATAGATTTGTTTATAATTAACCTACTATTATACAATTAAATTAATTTTATGAAACTGGCTACACAATTCAGCTGATAAATATTTCTGCGTAATTTTTGTATTATTATCCAGTACACTTGTAACGTTAAGTGAATTAAGCAGCACCAGTTAGTTTACAAGCTCTACTTGATTCCCCAAACTTTTGAAATAATACAGTAGTAAACAACATTTAGAATATACGATTTTTTTAAAATAATATAGAATACAAAATAAAATTTATCTTATTATAACGTAACAAATTTTTGATGAACTTATACTGAAGATTTTATGCATAATTGCACATTGTTAAATGTAAAAAGCTTTTTTGAAGAATAATATTGAATATAATTTAATTGAATCTTTTATTCTACTATAAAATAATGTTTTGTTCTCTTAAAGAAAAAAATAAACGATATTTCAAATTAGGAAAGAACCAGTTTAATTAGCGCGAAAGTTAAAAATAAACATATTCTGTTTTTTTTTCTATAATAAATATTTAAATAAGAAATTAAATAAGAAATAATGCAGTCGTATTTTAAAGTGAAATTCAATAATATACAATTACATTCAATATAAATTATATATTCTATATCAACAGTAAAATCGCAAAAGATATAGCGACCTCAAATTTACTTTACATATAGTATGTTTATAGACAAACATATTATGTACAAATTTATATACATCTCAATAATTTTTAAAACTTTAAATGTATTTTGCCTTTATTATAGACATTTTAAATATTTGAACGCTTATAGCATAATAAAAGCATATCGATTTTAATATCATGTATACGAGCTCTTATAAATAAAATTATTGTCTATATTTAAAATAGGATGAAACTTTTATAATGCAAAAAATTTCATTGATGATCAATATGCATCCAAATCAAGCATATACTATAACGTATATAGTATAAAAATTTAGAATATTGCTTATTTACAATATTACTTAACCGATTTTTTTTGTTTTTTCAAATAGGTCAATAATAATAATTGTGTTTAATGTGTTCTTAATATTATTACAATAATTATTTCAATATGAATCTTCTTTATATTATTACAATAATTATTAAAGGATTCTACTGTTTAAACGCTTAAGCTTTTACCCCTACTGGCGTCATTCACCTCTTCATAATATTCATATGTACAAACATATCTATACATATTCTTCACTTGTACGACCTTCAACACTCTTAAATTCATTATATTTATACATCCATTTAATTATATCCATATATAATTTTCTTAAACAAATTAAAACTTGAAATATAAAATTAGTTAGTGTTTTTCTGAATATTGCAGAAAAAATACATTTTAAAACATGAAAATAAAAGAGCATTAGAGCAATAATAAGAGAAAGAGAGGAAATGAAGAATGCAGAAATAGATACAGTCATCTATACAGCTATAATAGAAGTTGATTGGAAAATACAATGCTACTACTGAGCGCATCATTTATCGCGTAGAGAAAGCACACCGATACTCCATCAAATTAAAAACTAAAAAATATTAAAAAAAGTCAGAAAATGCAGATTTACCAGTTGCTTTTCGTTGTTCTGTTTTAGTTTCCCTTCTATTCTTCTTTTATATCCTGTTGTTATTTTAAACACTAATTAAGTATACATAAAAATATAACGTGCGTACGATCGAATAATTCGACAAAACTAAGGTTTAGTTTCGTATTCATTTAGTTTTTTATTCTTTTTTTTTCTCTTTTAATTCTCACTTTCCAAGTGGTTGTTAATTTATTATTTCAATAGTTCAGAAATTTATCAATTGTATTATTCTATTATTGGTCTGAGTTGATTTTGCAAATTATTTTTGTTTCAATTTTTTAATTTAATTTTTTTTTTTCTTCTAATATATTGAGAAGGTTTTAACAGAAGCAAGTCTGAGTTCATACTGAAATGTTTTTACTTTAAAATTTATCCATATATTAAAAACAAAAAAAAAACTACAACATTATTATTTTTTCTTTTATTATTATTTTTGCATATATATACATGTACTGTATGTATTTTTTACTTGTATAATAAGGCAAAAAAAGATGCATTTTTTTTTATAAAAAAATTACACAGTGCTTACGATTTTTCCTAGTTTATTAAAAAAATCTTTGGAAATTCTCTTTTAAAGTTCCATAACGTTGCATTATAACAGGATTTTTAAATTAATTTTAGGAATTAATATTTTAAACCGAATTCAGCAATTTATGTCAGCAAATAAAGTTGATTCAAATCAAAAATGTTATTGCTGAAATAGGGAAAACGCAAAATAAGCAATAACCAGACGAAAATCCTGACTGATGTTTTATCTAATCATACGGCAAGCTAAGGGGATATCTATATGTAAGTTATAGACCTATAGTAAGCAATAGTGCTTGGAATTTTTTTGTGGAAGTAGAGGAAATTGCACTTTTTTGAAAAGCACCTGCACTTTTTTGAAAACTGCGAAATTCTAATTCTGCGGCAGAATTTCTATCTGTCGAACATTATAACTTTCCCGACCTCTTCAATAACTTGTAAGTCTTAAGAGTTTTTTATAGGAAACGCTCATAGGCGGATTTATTTTTACCTCACTATAATATTTACACAGTCTAAAATCTACAGTTACGTAATTATTACAGGACTGTTGGAATATAAACTGTAATCAATAGAGATTTTTAAAATGTAGAGATTTTTTAAAACTTTATTATTATTACAAAAAAGTTTAAATGCTTAAACTCTTTTTTTTTTTTAATTTGTATTGTGATTGCATATACACTCTGTACGAACATTATTATACGAGTATAAATATATTATCAATTATTTAATATGAATGAACCTTAATTCTAAATAAATATATAATTTTCAATGTTCAACTATAAAACTTATTCAATATTAAATATATGAACGATATTGTGTTTCATATAAATATATAATGAAAAAGAATAATGCATATTTAAGAATTTGAGGCGGAATGGTAAAAAAAAACATTTGTGGTGACCAAAAGTATTGTCCTGTTTATTTAATCCTGTTCATTGGATAGCAGACTCTTTATAGTTTATGATTTTAATTTTTTTTTTTAATCTGTTTCTATATACTTTTCCTCTTTTTGGACAACCCCCACTTCTGCTTCTACTGTACTTTCTGCTACACTAGACTGCCATTTTCATTGTTTGATTTTCCGGTATTAAAAATTATTAGATATAGGTTTTACAGAATTTTATTATTTTCTATACAATCATCTTAAAAATAATTTGTTGCATAATTTAAGCTGATCTTTAATAATTAAAAATTTTACTTCTGCAAAATTATTGGTTTAGTGATATTAGTTATATGTATATACAAAAATGTAACCAATAACAACAAATTATTTTTTTATGACATGCTTAACGTTCTTTTTCTATCAAACATCCTATTTTTGCAAATATAAAGTTTTAATTCGTCGTAGGTATTTTTTATTAATTTTAACTTAAAACTGATTATTTAAAATATCCAATATTTTCGTCAATGTGTATAAAGATATTTCAGTAATATTTTCTAATAAAAGGAAAATACGTTTAGAATTTACCCTATCAAAATTTTTCAATTTAGAACTTATTCTGATTCTTTTTGCTACTTTAACTCTTCTGATTTTTTTTGCTACTTTGAAAGGGTACTTCAAATGACAATGAGAAAGGTTTGTATCTATTGTATTTCTATAAATTTTGGGATATATTTTTAATAAAACTTATTTTAAATGAAAACTTTCATCTTCTGGCTATTGCTATTTTTTCTTGCAAATATGAAAATAAAACTCCAAAATTTATTTATATAGAAATCTTTTTAAATATTTTCAAATGAAAATGACTTAAAACATAAAAGGGCGGTGAAATTTTTTTTTTTCTTCATATAAACTTTATATTGGTTTTTTTAAAAATCATAAAGGAAAAATGAGAGTTGCTCTCTCTACCCACTGGCCTTATACGCACCAGGGTAGTTTACCTACCTACAATTAATTTTTTACACAAATTACTTAACATTTGATATGCAAGATTTTAAAAAGAATAATAAAAACAAAACCAAATGAAACTATAAAAACGTTTAGCTATTTACTGCTTTATTGAAAAAATTGTAAAATTTAAATTTATAATTTTTAAAATTGAAAAAACAAAAAATAGAATAAAGTTAATGTATAAAGTGAATTAGTAGGTTAATATTATATATAGGTTAGTTATTATGTAAAATTATATATACAAATTATTTATGATTTCATTTCGCAGTTCCAGCGTTTATAAACTTGTTTTATTATAAATTATATGAAAAATATATTTATTTAATAACAAGCTTTGAATTTATTATAAATAATTAATTATCATTTCTTTTTTAAAGCAAAAGTATAGTACTTTTATTGCACCATTTATACAACAACGCAACAAATTCTAAATTATCAATTACTAAGCATACTAATTACTTACTTTAAATTTATTCACTTTATTTCTTGAGTAATCGTCAATCTTTTATATCAAAATTTTTAGGTGAAATTACTAGTTTTCTTGTAAAGATTTGCGTGTACTGCCTTCGTTAAATAAAACCGCAATATTTGCTAATCTGTAGGAAATGTTCGTTTCGTGTTCCACGCGAAATAGTTAAGAAATGTCATTTTTTATTTGAGCAAAAATAATTTCATGTAAAAAAGAGCCGGACCCTAAACTTTAGGTCAAATTCACTCAAAAGTACAAAATTTTTGAAAATGTTGTCAAGATGCGATATTAACTTATACACTGTTATATTTTTGCATAAAAATTAAAATATATTTGCACTGATACAAACCTATTGCTTGTAAAATAGAATAGATCAATGAAAATGATATATTGAAATGATATATGAAAATGATATATTATAATTTTGCATAAGTTCCGGAGATAACTTAGAGAAAATTAAATCTTATCTTTTATACGAGTATAGAAATTCAATAGAACCTGTATAATGGGAAAAGTGTGAAACCGAAAATTGACATCTCACAAACTACGAGAAAATTTCGTATTAATACAATGTAAAAGCTTTAAGGACTAGCGTTAGTGATGATGATTATAAATTATATTGAACAATTAACTTTAATTGTCAAACAAAATTTTCAATAAGAATTTTTTTTTGAAAATTTACTTCAGAAATTTTTAATTCTGTAGAATTTTTGTTTATAAATATGACAAACACGCCAATAAATATATAATATTAAAATAAAATATTTGGAAATATTTACATATTTACATCCAGTAGAATAAGAATAATTTTTTAAAGCAAATTTTAAAGGATCGACCAATATTGAAATATAGGAGTGCACAGATAAATATTCTGTTACAGACCAAATGTCTCCGAAAATATTATAATTTTATTTCTCTATCATGAAAATTTCCATTGAAAACTCAACATATAGAAATATGATACGATAGCGATTGCTTTATTAAATACCATAGAGTCGATAAGTATATAAAGGAGATTTTTTTTTTAAATCTTTTCAATTTTAAAGTTGCGTATTAATAAATTTTCTTAAAATTAACATGATATACGTATAAAAATTTTATATATATTATGTACGTAATTATCAACAACGGACAAATAAACATTATTTAGTTGTAAAGTTTTTTAACAAGATTTTATTATGTATCATTAAGTTAATTATTTTTATACGAATTTAATAAGTATTAAATAAAAACTTGTTAATAGTTTATGTTTTTACTTTTAGATAATAATTATATCTAAAGACTTTAATTTACCAAAATTAATAAAAACAGTACATAACGTATACACAGTAACATAAAACCGTTCAAGATAAGATAAAAAAGCAATATGGAAAAAATACACCTACATTTCTAATAAAAATTCATATATCGACTTATAAAATCTTCAAATGAACAAAATGAAACTGGTTTGATACATTCTTTTTTCAAGTTTTTTTTGAATTCTTTTACAACCTGAGTTTTTAGCGTAAGTAATTAAATTATTCACATTATACAGGGTGTTTCGCATAAGGGGACAATTAATTTCAAGGATTATTCTTTGATCAATTTCCAGTGAAAAATTGTATGGATGTGCCGTCCGAATTATGCGTAAAGTTCGTCAGTAACTTCTGGTAACAACTATAGAACTCAAGTATTAAATTTCAAGAAATTCTATCAATCTATTCCGTAGATATGGTAAAAAATGAAAAATCGTAAAAAAATTTCCTAGCCTTGATCTTTCTAAAAAAAATTTATAGATTCATTGTTTTAACACCTCAAATTTAAATATTAAATTTGAATAAAATCGGTTGATTATTTCTATTTATATACGCAAAAATGCATATTTAGCCCGAAGTAAACGTCCAGTTGCCGACACCTGATTTCATCCAAAAGTTAGGGCGTTCCGCGTAAGGTCGAATGAAGCTTATATATGAATATATATGAATATAGCTATTTCAATTAAATCTGTTGAATATTTTCTTCAAAGTAATCAAATACGTCAAATACAGGCCGACTAAAATCCAGTTCCCGTAGCCTTATATATCCCAAAAGTTGATCAATCCATGCCATAGTCGAAATAAACTTACATATAAAATTTCATCAAAATCGCCTCAGCAAAACTTGAGATACAGGTGTGAACACACAGACCGACAGGTTGCTAAAAATAGTTTATTTACACTTCCCTACCACGGAGAAGTGCGTTCCTACAGAAAGCTTGATATGCAAAATTTGTTGCCATCACATACACAGATACGGAAAAATATTCGTTTGCGACTATCAAAATTTGAAAAAATTTTCCAAAAAAATTTTTAGAGCTCAATCATAAATGACATGGGTATAGGTACATAATGTCATAATTATGTTGTCAATGAATATATCATATTTTTTATTATTTTTTACTCGAGTGACCCATACTCATACCCACATAGTACATAAGACAAAAGTCTTTCCAACGGTTGACATAGAGTAACAAACGTAGGCTGGTTCTAAATAGGTAATTGATTTCTCCTTATTTTCGGTCTTTCAATTAATTAGATTTAAGCCATATTTTTCGAGATTAAGCTCGAGAGAAGTAATTTTAATTTAAAACAAAACAAAAACAGGTGTTTTCTTTGCTAAATTAAAAACTTAATAAAATTACAAATTATTAATTAATCAAAGCACTATCGAATAAATATTTCTTTTAATTATTGAAATGAATAATATTCACATGTACATATGTATATGTTGTAATAAAAGTATGGATTTGTTTTTACAATTGCAGAACTACCAACCTTTTTCTTTTTCAACAGATTTTTTTCTTTTTTTCACTTGTTATAATTTTTTTATAAGTTTTCATCAAAAAGTATTATCTTTTTAACACTTATTATGAAATATTTGAAAATTTTTTTTACAAACTGCACTAATTTTATAACTAAAATAAAAAAAATCTTTGTTTACTTTCTATATAGTGGCATCATTTTCTAAGACATTTTGCATTTAGAGTTAATTTCAGTTTGACAATGTTCTGAGCAAAAAAAGAGACTTACCTAAAATTTTTGGCTTCACTATGTTTTTTTAAAGATACGATTTTTAGTGAGTGTAAGCGAGATAGAAACAAAGATAGTCTCTTTCTTTGTTGTCAAATTAAAATTGATATTAAGTGCCACTGGTTTTTTTTCTTGAAAAAGTTTAAACCAACGGCGAAAAAATAAACAAAGAAATTTCCGTGAGTTTTTTTTTAACTTATAAAAAAAAATAAAACAAAGCGAAAAAAGAACAAATTCTTTTGGAAAAATGAAAAAGTACATACCAAATTTCCACCATGATTGTGAAGATTATTTATTTCATTCATCAAAAAAAAATATTTATTCAATAGTGTTGAATAATAGTATTAAATTTTTAATTTTGGTTAACATTTGTTTTTTTTTTTGTTCTAAACTAAAATTACTTCGGATGACATAATTTTACCAGTAGCGGATATTTTCCTAACCAAAATTATTGTGTGGTCAATGAAATGTACCATGCACACAATATTTAAAATGGACATTTTTAATATACGGTATAACCCGTTTAAAAGAAACTTCACTTTGCCATTCATTTTGGTTCTTATAAGCGGGAGTTTCCTTTAAAAGGTACCCTTTTCAATAAATTTTGTATACATTTTAGAAAAAAAGGAGATACACAACATGGAATAACTCTTCCCACTTGAAAATTATGCAGACGAATATAAGCCAGTGAATCACTTTTTTCTCACTTTGCGAGTAAAATAGCGAAATGGACGATCATGCTCTTAATTTAAACTGATTGTGAATTTTATTTTAATTGGGTTTTTTTGCAGGCTTATATGAAGTGAATTTCTATGTTGTGTTAACATTTTTGCCATTCATAACTGCCGCTTTTAAGAGGGTTTTTCTTCTAAGGAAATTTTAAAAGAGTAAAAAGAAAAGCATTGGTGCAGTGGTTATGGCGCCGGCCCTTTAACCGAAGGGTCTCGGGTTCAAACCCCGGTCAGCTCACTATGAAAATTACATTCAATATTTATAACTTAATATACAATATTTATAAATATTATAAAAGTAATTTTCATATATTCATAATATTCGATATTAAAAAATAAAAAAATAAACAGTAAATATTAATAAACTTAAATACTTAATATAAAAAAAAACTACGACAGGCTAGTTACCTACCTAGTTAAAACTCTATGACGCCATAAAACTAGTGCATGATATCATGCGCTAGCCCTATGCTCCTACTAGGAGTGAACAAGGAAAAAAAATAATAAAAAGACATTAAAATTTATGTAAAATGACAAGTGCATGAAAAAGTAATTATTTAAAGCAAGGGTTTCTTATAAGCGGGTTTTACTGTATTTACAGTTTTTCTAGAAATGGTGAAACGAAAATAACGTGCAATCCAATTGTTAGTAAAAAAGTTTTCATTCGCAATATTTTATTAAATTGTACTTTGATTCAAAATACAAAAAGAAATTATTATTAATATTGTTTAGAGTTGTTCAATAAGATTGTCAAATAAAACTGAAAGATAAAAATTCATTTTCAAGTGTATTTTGATATTAAGATCCATACATTTATGTGTGTAATTTCAATTTATAAAATAAATTTATCTAAAGAGAAAAATAACAATGGAAATAAATGTGTTTTGTTGAAATTTAATTTCTTTTACAGATATTTCAAATAAATAATTTTTAAAATATTTTCAATTTTTACTTTAAAAAAAATTTTTAGCTTATCTTTCTTAGATTATATATGTATTTCACATATTTTATAATGAAGTTCAAATAAAAAAAAAAAACAAAATAAATACAATCCAGTTACAAGTTTGACAATGCTTAGAACAAAGAAAGAGACAACCAGAAAGAATTTCGTTTCATTATTTTCTCAACGAATTAGAAATAGTAAAAGAAGGAGCATCTTTATTTCTACCTCGCTTGCACTGCCTAAAAAATGGCATCTTGAAAAAAACATAGTGAAGACAAATATTTCAGTTAAATCTCTTTCTTTGCTCTAAGCATTGTCAAACTGAAATTAACATTAAGCACCAAATGTTGTTGTTTATTTTTCTTAGAAAAGTACGTTGTATTAAAAGTAAACAAAGAAGATTTTGTTATTTAATTTATAAAATTGATGCAGTTTGTAAATAAAAAATCATAAAATATTTAATAATAAGTAATATTTAATAAAAAGAATACTATTTGATAAAAACTTATAAAAAAAATATAAGTGAAAAAAAAAATCTGTTGAAAATGAAAAAGGTGTATAGATCTGAATTGTTATTCCCATTTTTAAAAACAAATAGTATTGTTACGCTATATGCATATGAATATTATTGATTTCATCATTAAAAGAAATATTTATTCAATAGTGCTTGTAATTATATTAAATTGTTAATTTTGAAAAATGTTTTAAGAAAACATTTATTTTTGTTTTGTTTTAAATTAAAATGACTTCGAATGATATAATTTTACAAGGGCCGGTTTTTTTTGAAGCAGAATGAATTTGTGTTTCATAAAATCAAATATGTTAAATTGATGTTTTGCTTTTTGTATAATCACAGTTTTCCTAGAAACGATGAAATGAATATATTTCCCATTATAGAGTGAAGATTTGGTCAAAAAAAAATGTATGAAGACGGCTCGATGCCCGTGAATTCAGTAAGTAAAATAAAATATGAGCGTGAATTATTTAAGAAATAAATTATTTTAGAACAAATTAGTATGCGAAGCTCAATTAATGAACAAGGAAGAATACAAGGACATACCATTTACTTCAGTGAGTAATAACCACATATTAATTAAAATTTGTTAAAAATAAAAACTATGCTGTTTTAGATTTATTAAAATATACATATATGTATTTATATTTATTGTTATTAATATTGTTTAGAGTTATTCGGTAAAATTGTCAAGCAAAACTGATAACATAGGAAATTTTTAACAAAAATTTCCAACTTATCCTTCTTACAAATTACACGTAGTAGAAGCCGGATAAGAAAATAAAATAAATACACTAATGTTGCGACTTTGACAATGTTCGGAGCAAAGAAACATACAACTAGAAAAAATTTGGCTTCACTGTTTTTTGAAGATACTCCATCCCTTAGTATTTCTAATTTGTTCTAATGTGTTTGCGGTTTCTTTTTTATGTTTTGATATTTCTTTTTCCTCTGTTTTTTTTTTCTGTACATCAGAAATTGAAATCTGGTGCAGATTTCATCCAAGTTCAATTGATACGACTAGCAAAAATGGGAAAATCGTAAAATTTTTCATATCCAAAAATTTTATACCAGATTGGATAGTCTGATAGACACATGTATGCGTTTTTGGTTTTTACTTACACTCTCATTATTTTTCTTAAAAAAAAAATTGAGAGCCGCATATTAATCCGAGACAGAAACCACAGACAATAAGATTTTTTTACGTTTAAAAATATAATACTCTCTCAACAAAAACGGCAACACATTCAAAAAGAAAAATTTATGACATATTTAAGATCAAATGTGACATTTTTGAAATGTCATAAACTTGATTTTGTATTTGTTAGCCAGAAAATTTGTAAATATTTCTTTTCTGATATAAAAAAAATAAAGAGAGAAACAAAAAAAAAAGCCATTTACAAATTAAATCTATAAGATACCTTTGTTTTTTTTAGTAAAATATTAATTAAAGGAAACAAAATGAAACAAAGGTAAATAGCTTTTTGAAAAATAGAAAAAAGAAAAATTCAAAAGACATGAATTCAGCAAAAAAAGGTAAAAACTTAATTTTTTTTGTAAATATGAAGCACATGAACGAAAATTGTGAAATTGTTGAATTTTTTTAATAGTTTATCAAATTAAAATAAAATAAAAGAGAAATAATTTCAATAAAAAAAACAAGGAAGTCTCAATGAGCTTGAAATTCTAAAATAATAAAAGGAAAAAACTTGACAAGAAAATTATTGTGAAATTAGATTATCATTAAATCAAAATATACCATATTGAATGAAAAGTATTCGCTTTTTAATTTTAAATTAAAGGTAAGAATCAAATTAAATAAAAAGTAAAAATTGTTTTGTTTTCTTGATTTTTCAGAAAAAGATCTAGTCAGATACCTATGTTTTTCTTGTGGCATCCATAATATGTATATGCATATCTAAAAGAAAGAAAAACATGAAAAAAAAAACACAAACAAAACACAAACGCGTATAAACAATTAATAGGTTAGCGCTTTAATTTATATAAAAGTGGCTGTTATAGAAACCCTAAATTAACCAAATTAATTAGGATATTTAAAATTCGCAAAATTTTATTATATTAATGTATTTTGTATACGTATAGTGTGTGTCACTATATATCTTTTTCCATACATACGTTATTTTTTAACTATTTTTTTTATACGTTAACTATTTAAAAGTTGAATCAAAAACTGTGCAAATTGTTACCAAAGAAATGCATAGACTACTGTAGTAACGAAAATTTCATTAATAGAAAAAAATTATACGTTACTATTTGAAATTGGTCTTATTTAAAATTACATATATTTAATTTTTTGTTAAAAAAATTTTTAAGTTTCATTAGAAAATTTTCTTAAATTTTAAAAAACATGTTCCGGAACGCATTTTTCTCTCCTATTAAGTAGTGGGATTCCACTCCATCCCGCCTCACTTCGAGCACTGCTATAGGGCATAGACTGTAATGTGTTCAAGCTCTCTTATATGTATCTATTTTAATATCTCGAAACTTTTCTTTATGAATTTCTAAACCATTTCAATAATTTTGATTAAAAAAACAACATTATTTTAATAAAACTTTCTTTGTCAAAACTAACAAAACAAAAATAAATAGGTACATAATACATAAAAATCAAAAGTTCCAATCTGAAACCTAAATCCTCTAAAATCAACTTATTAAACCTTTAAGTAGTCTTCCATATCCTCATTCAACATGCAATATGAAAATATATAAGTACCTATTTATAGTAAATTTTGTAGCTAACATAAAAAAATAAAAATCTTACCCAACTCATAGCCCTGATTAGTTTTATTATAATTGCAATCTACGAAAAAAAAAACAAGTTATTTATAAACTTATGTTATTTTATAAACTTTTTACAATAATTTTATATTTTTTATTACCATTTTTAAATTGTTTTACTAATCCGTTTTCTTCTTCGATTTTTACTTTAAGGGAGCTCGAACATCACACGGAATAATAGCAAAGACACGATAATGATGAAGAAAATGCAATTTTGTGTATTTTATAATTTTTAATACTTTTAATTTTAAATTTTTAATTACAAAAGAAATTCATTACATAAAAAGTTTTAATATTAATCTTTTTCTTTCTATATTGTTTGATATAATATCAATTAAATTATAGAAATTATTAAAAGATTAAATACCATAAAAGTAAAAGACTGAGTTAAAAAAGTTTTAGAAAAAAAAATTGGATAAAATTCCATAATTGGAAAAATTTTCATAAACCGTTCGCTGTTTTACTTTTAATACTAAAAAACAGGATTTAAAAAACTTAAAAAATAGAAATTTAATAAGAAACAATTTACGGAAATTCATAAAATTCATAGCTACATAATATAAAAACTGTAATTTGTTGGTTTTTCTCCTTTTTTTTGTGTTTTAAATTTTATATATTTATATTTCATTTTCTAAATATATTTTATAAAACAAAAAGACATTGTAAATATTTACAAAGATTTCCAAAAATTTGTTAAAATCTTATTGAACTTTGAAACTTATTGAAAATTTGTAATAATTGAAATTTATGATATATGAAATATATAATTGATTTATGAATAAATAAATTGAAATTATAATTGATTTATGAATAAATAAATTGAAATTATAATTAATTTATGAATAAATAAATTGAAATTATTTGTAATACAAAAAATAAATATAAAATTTATAGTAACTATATAAAATAATATTTAGAGTGGATTATTAAATATAAATTACATTTTCTACTTTCTCGCTTTCAATCTTTCACACTTGTAATTTTCAAAAGTAGATGTTAAGATGTATTGTGTGTTTTAAGCATTAATATTAAGATAACCTTCTCCAGTAAAATCAAATAGAAAATTATTTCCATCCATTTATATTATTAAAAATTAGAAAAAAATTTATTTCAAAAATATTTTTTTATCCTTTTATCATTTTTATCTTTTTCTAAAATCAGAAGGAGAAAGAAAAAGTTGTATAACATAGAAAACATCTTAATTTTTATTAAATCTATTAAAAATATTTTCTTTTTGTTTATTGTTTAATTAAAAATATAACTCACGTCTATTCAGAAACTTTATGGAAATAAAATAGAAAAATATTAAAAGCAAACTATTTGGAATTTTTGTATTCAATAATTTGCACAAATTTCAACATAAGTAATATCGCATGTTGTATTTTAGAAAAAAAGTAAAAAATTAAAATATAAAAAAAATCAATTGGTTGTTTATGGTTATTGCGTTAAATAAAATAAAAAAAAAAATTTTTAAAATCAAAATTTTTTTTACATTACATTTATTATGTTGTAATATTATACCTACATTTGCATACATATATATATATATATACATTAATAAATTGAGTTTGTTTTTTTCTTATTTGTTAATTTTTGAAATTAAATATAAAATTATATATTTAGCATATTATTATAAGCAAATAACTTTCGTAATATCTAATTATGTAAAACGAAATTATTCGTGAAAATTGCCTAAACAAAATTTATTTAAACAAAAATTTTCAGAAAATCGTTTTTATACAAAACCAACACTAAAATAGAAAATGTTTAATTTTAAATTTAAAAACTTTTTGTGTAATATCTAAGGAAATGTGCAATTTTTACTAATTATTCCTTCTTAATTTTTTTTTGTACCACAGAAATAATAATTTATATAAATATTTGATATGATAAATAATTATATATAAATTTAATACAAATAAAAAAAAGTTAATTTGATAAAATAAACTTGACATCCATTTACAATTTTTTGCTTTATTGTCAAACAAAATAAAAAAAGAAGAGCTTTATATAAAGGAAACATTAACATAATTTTATAAAAGTAAAAAAAATTCTCTTTGTGCCTTGAATTAACAAAAAAAAAATTAAAAAGTATATTCTACAAAGAAATTAATTCAACTAAATTTTTTTCAAATTTTATATAATTATAAAAACAAGATGTTTATGAAATTTCATATCCTCAAATTCTTATCTTAAATTAATTAAAAAAAAAAGAAAAAATAAGAAGCTTGATTATATTCAAAAATATTAATTTTTTGTAAAAATCACTATTAATGATTTATTTATTTTTTTTGTTGTTGTCAAAAACAAAAACTTTTTTCTTATGAATTTCTACATATATTCATTGCATTTATCATTTCACTTTCTATGTTCATTTTATTATTCTTAAAAACAATATTTAACAAGATTTTAATACTTTAAATTGTATTTGCTATATAAAGAAAAATTAGAAAAAGTAGAAATAATATTAGAATAATTATTTAAAAAATTCTAAAAAATAAAATTATTTCATATTCTTATTATATAATTAAAGGTAAATTAGAATAACGATTACCAATATAATCTCTGTACCCAAAATATTAAAGTAATTTTTATTGATATTTAATATATTATATTGTTTGTACGTTTATTAAAAAATTATAAATTCTGAAAAAGTTGTTGATTTTGAACTAAAAACAGAAAAATTTATTTTATATTTGTTACGCTCACAATTTGTCAATTTTTTTTTTTGATTTTATGAGATATAAAATTAAATTAAATAGAAAATAATAGAATATTTATAAACTATATAGGAAAAAAGATTTTATGATTGTATTTTTTATTTTGTTTGCTTTTTTCTACTAAGAAGTCAATTTATATTTTATTTGAATCACAAATGTAAGTTTATTAAAACACAATTCATTTCAAAGAATTGGCAAAAGAAGAAATATAAATTTTCTAAGAATTTCATAAGAGAAATTTAATAACAAGATAATAATGAAATATTATACATTATATTTTTAAAAGAAATTAAATCGGCCAAAATATATATTAGTTTAAATGTAATAAATAAATAAAAATAGCAACAAAACACACTGAAAACAAATATAATATACAAACAGTTCGATCACATAAAATGCTTTTGAAAAGTTTTCCTTTATTTTACTTTACGTAGGAAATTGCAAAGACAAATTTTGAAATAATTTTAGAAAAAAAGGCAAAATAAATTTTATAGTATATTGCAAAAAAAGAAGAAATTAAAACTATAATTTCATTAAAATGTTTAAATACTAAAATATAATTTCACAATATTAAAATTATCAAGTTATATATTATATATTAAAAAGTAGTTATTTTTTTTTTCTTTTTTTATAATAATAATTTTTTTTTTAAACATAAATTTTATTTTTTTTTTTGTATATAAATTAGAACAACAAAAAAAAAGAAATCGAATGTTTCTTATTCTGTCTCTTAAATAAAAATTAACTATATATATATAATAAATTAAATATTCTTGTGACACTTACTATTTTTTAAATATTAAATATAATATATTCTTATGTTATTATGCAATATATTCTTTTTTTTTTTCGAATATAAAAAAGCAAACATTCTCAAATTACATTCGTGATAACAAATAAAAAAAAACGATTAACAAAATATCGTTTTACATTTTTATTATTCGCTCAGGTTCTTACATTTAAGTATATATTTATATATATATAAATATTTATGTTATATAAATAATATTAAGTTAAATATAATAAATTATAGTAAATTATATAGTTATAATAACTGAATTTTTAAAATTAATAAAAATTTATCAAAAATTAAATTGAAATAGTAAAGTTGTAAAAAAAACATAAATACGGTTGTTAAATAAAATTTAAAATATATATGTTTAAATTATTTGTGAATTTTGCGCAAAATTAATTCATAAACTATTGCTACTTCTTTTAAATTTATATTCAAAATTTCCGAAAATTTTCTGTTTTATAAAAAATCAAAAACATTAAAGTTATTATATGTTATATATTGTGTATATTATATAATATATTATACACTAAAAAACTAGCTTTATGTAAAATAAATTACAAATCTATTATATAAGAATATACTTATATATATGTATGTATATATATATAAATATATAAACATTTCAGCGAAATTTCAAAACTGTTACAATATATAATATATTTTACAATTATAATTTTTTTGTGAGAAAAAATAAATATTAAATTTAAATTCGGAAACAAAAAATTTTATTATCTATATATATTAAATTAATCAATGAAAAAATATTTAAAAAAGAAATAAGCAAATAATTAAGAAATGGTTTTTGTTTTTAAATATTTAAATTTAAACATAAATTAGTAAACATTTTTTTTTTGAATAAAATTTTTTTTTCCAATTTCGACAAAATAAATATTTAAACAATATTTGGGTTACTGATTCTGTTTAAAGAGGTTCGACCTGAATTTTCGTAATTGCAAAATATTAAAAATTATAAAAAATTATTTATTTATCGTATATAAAAAAAAAAGAATGAAAAGTAACCGTGCCATTTATTGAAATATATTAATAAAACATGTAGTTATCGTTTAAATTCCTAAGTTTTTTTAATTTTACATAAAAGTTTTTTAATTTTAAGTGATTCAAATGTTTTATTAATATACATTTATATTTTAAAATCTCGAAAAATATCATATTATAACTTCATATTTCTTTAATTATTATTATTGTTATTATATTTTTTAGATAAACGTATTTTATATAATATTAATTAACATTTAAAACAATGAACTAAACACAAAATAGCAAACATAATATAAAATATTCAACAGTATTAAAAATAAACTTAAATTTATTTACAAAAATAAAAGTAGAATACAAATAAATGTCGAACAAAAAAAACGGAATAAAAAAAAACCGACTTTAATTAAAAATAAAATTACAACTAAATAATAATTAATTATACGTAAAATAGAAATCATATTTATTTAATAATATAATAAAATAAATTAGAAAGAATAATTATAAATCTCGTATTAAAAAAAGAATTTTTTTTTAAGAAAATAGCGAACAAAAATATAAATATTAAAATTTAAAAAAAGTAAATAAGTAGGGAGAAAAAAAAAATATTTAGCATAGATTTGAAATCTTAATTTTATTTTCATTTGTTTGTTTTTTTTTCAATACGACATACAAGAAAAATGTCATTTTGGAATTGCTTTTCTTGTTTACGTTTTCCAAATGATGATATTATAAGACAATTAGATTATACTAGTTTATCATTACAAGAATTACCACAAGAATTATGGCAATATGATAAAACATTAGAAATATTAATATTATCATCTAATCATTTAAACGAATTACCTCAAAATTTATTAAATAATTTTCATTTATTGAAAATATTAAAATTTAACGACAATGAATTAGATAATATACCAAATAATATCGGTATATTACGTCAATTAAAACAATTAGATTTATCAAGAAATTCAATAAAATTAATACCAGATACAATAAAATTATTAAAAAATTTAACACATTTAGATTTAAGTTTAAACAATATACAACATTTACCAGATGCCATAACAAATTTATCACAATTAGAAGAATTATTATTAAATGAAACATATTTAGAATTTTTGCCAACAAATATTGGTCGTTTAATTAATTTAAAAATATTAGAATTACGTTCAAATAATTTAATAACATTACCAAAATCAATTGAATTATTAACATCATTAAATAGATTAGATATCGGCGCAAATGAGTTTACTGAACTTCCACAGGTAAGATTTTTCTTATAAAAGGGTAAAAGTAAAAATATTTAAATAGAAATTTTATATTTTGTGTGATATACATAAGTACACATTTTTTATATATTTTTTTTATAGGTAATCGGTAGTTTAAATCAATTAAGAGAACTTTGGATTGATTTTAATAAAATTACACATATACCAGTTAATATATCACATTTATGTGAATTAATACATTTTGAAGCGAATAGCAATCAATTAATTTCATTACCGAATGAAATAAGTAATTGGAAAAACTTGCAAGTAATGTCATTGTCAACAAATGAGCTTAAGGATTTACCATTTTCAATTGGAATGTTAAAACAGCTAATAACACTTAAATGTGATAATAATCAATTAAAATATATACCAGATTCAATATGTAATCTAATAAATATTGAAGAACTAATATTAAATAATAATTCAATAATGCGTTTACCAAATACAATTGGAATGTTAAAAAAATTAAAATTTCTACAATTAGATGAAAATATATTAAGACGTTTACCTAATGAATTATCTAATTGCCAAAATTTAACAGTATTATCAGTGCATAGCAACAATTTAAATGAACTTCCAGAAAATATTGGTCTTTTAATTAATTTAAGGGTTATAAATATTATTAATAATGTGATACAATATTTACCAGTATCAATATTAAATTTACAAAATTTACATGCACTGTGGTTATATGAAAATCAAACACAACCATTAATACCATTACAATATTATGATTCAAATCAATTATATTTAACATGTTGTTTATTACCTCAACAACAACAACAACAAATAAATGATGAAAGAAAAGTTCCATTATATGTGCTAGATAATGAGGGTAATTACGATCAAAATGATAATCAGCAAAGTGATGAAGATAATAATATGAACATATCAGAACATAAAAATCAAAATGATGGAAATCAATATGACCAAGAACAACAACAGCAGCAATTATTGTTGATTGACACTCAAAATAAATTAAACTACAATGATAAGCCACAGCCACAGTGGTTAAATTTTGTACGAAAGCCACAGCAATGTATTATGAATAGAAATAATTATCACAATTCACGAGAACATCAAAATAATACAGTAACAAGTCCATTGAAAAAAATTTGTTTTGCTGATGAAAATAATAGCATTAAAAGCAATACAAAAAGTGGTAAGTAAAAAATTATTTTAATCGCTTTATTATATATTGTACATGTGGGTCATTATACAATTGAAAATAAATCATTATACATTTTAAAATCTTTTTTAATCAACTAAGTTTTAAGATATACTCAAGCAATATTTAGGTATTATTCATGCCTTTTTGGTTTTATTTTTCAGACGATAAAATCGACGTTAAAAACAAAAATACTAAAATAAATACATCTTGTGGAATAAAATCAAAAGCAAATACAACAACAACCGCTGGAACAACAACAATAAACACTGGAACAGACGTATCATCTATTACATCAAAATTAATGCGTTCTCCTACACCATATCCAAAAGAACTACGCATAATGGCAAAATATATACGTAACCAAGTGCAATATCAACAACAAGCACAACAACAGCAACATCAGCAACAAAAGCTACAGCAGAATTTTAAACAAAATAATACATCACAAGATTTAGAAGAAAATTTACCTTTAAAATCGAAACAATTAATAACACAAATTAGTGATCATCAATCACTTATCAATGATGACATTATTTTAAATAAAAGTAGTTCTGATTTAAATACAAATTTATTGCAGAATAATGTATCAATTTTAAATCAGAATCATCCTAATAATAGTATTATGGAACAGCAACAATCGATTAATTGTCACCCGCCCTTACAAACACAGCAGCAACAACAACAATTAATATATGAAACTCCTCTAAGGCAAAATAAACAGCAACAAATTGCGCAGCCTCAGATATGTAACTCGTTCGATATTGTTGATTATTCGAAAATCGACGAAAATAATATATATGTTAAACATCCACCATCTATAATGTCAACACAACACCCAATACAATATCATCTGCAATTAAGTAATAATAGTATTCATTTTCCGCAACAAGATCAAATGCAGTATGAACAGCAACAAAATTACAGTGGTATTCATTATCATCATCAAAGTTATAATTTGGCAAATAATATTCAAAATAATTCTGATAATAGTTCATATATTGAATATCCCTCAACAAGTACTAGTAATTATAAAGATATTAGTCATATACGTTATTTGACTTTAGTTGATTCATTATCATCAAATTTAACGCCTTCGTCAACTGGAACAATGCCACAAGCATTACCAGCAACAGTTACAGCTCTATCAACACCAATTGAATATCAAAAACATCAACAACGGATACAACACCAACACCAGCAGCAACTTTATCATCATTCTCAGAATGATACCCAACTTCAACAAAATCAATTAAATATACTGCCAATAAATTATTTAATACAAAATAATGAAATACAACAACAGAAATCAATAAATGATTTTACCAGTCCACCACCGTATTATGTAGCAAAAAATTATACAAAAAAATCCCAAGAAGATTTATTAAATTACGACACTCTAAGAAATATTAAATATTCTCAACAAAAATACCAGCAAGAAAAACAACAACTACATCAACAATTACAACAACAGTATGATCAGGTTATTCCAAATAGTGGAAATGATAATGAAAATGGTGATTTCAATTTATTAAAAAATAATTTTGATAATATATCAGTTGGCAAAACTAGTAGTAATAATAATGAAAATAATTTAAACGATGATAAAAAACAAATGCAACATAATTTGAATTATTTGAATAATAATAATTTAAAAAATAATACCATTAATTTAAGTAATTATGATAATGAAGAGAATATTTGTAATGCATCGCAACCAAAACAAAATATTGATTCATTACAATCATTATCGAAATTATCAAATTCGAATACCGAGGTTATTAATAAAGATGATAATAAAATTGAAGAAATAAATGATCCACAAAATAATTGTAAAGAAAATAATTTTAAATTATCATCAAAACAATTAATCAACAATAATACAAATGAACTAGAATATATAACATCTGTAACATTTAACGGTGATGATAATAATCAAGAGCAACAGCAGCAGCAACAACAGGAACAACAACAATTAAAAAAGTTAAATTCACAAAAATGGTTATTTGGAACACATAAAAATCCAACAGTGGTAATTATCTCACAATCAAATTTAACAAAAAAATATCTTAACACTTCAAAATAGAATTTAAATATTATAATTTTCATTATCTGTTTTATTATTTCAGAAACAAGTTTTAGTTAAAAAAGATCCCACAATTGGTTTTGAAATAAAAGAAATTCAACATCAAGGAATTTTTGTTAACACAATAATTCCAAATACTTCAGCAGATAATTTACTTAAAGTTGATGATAAGATTTTAGATGTTGATGGTAATGATTTTACAAAATTGGATTTCAATGATGCTAACCAAATTTTGATTGATTCTGGTCCCGTTTTAACTATAATGATATCTCGAAAATAATTTAGTTATAATATATAATAATTAGTATGTAATGTAACAATTAAAGTAAACAAGAAATATTAAAAAGCTCAATATATGATAATTCTAGTTTAATATATTGTTAAAAAACTATTAATAAAATTAATTAATAAACAAAAAAGTATATAATTTTCAGCTTTAGGTAGCTTCCAAAATTAGTGTTTAAACTGAAACTCACAAAATCTTCCTTAAAATAAAGTCCAATGTAATATTTAAATTAAAATACAGTAAAGATTTATTTATCTACTAAATTTAAATAAAAAATTTTATTAAGAATTTTCGGAACATTGTAAAAATTGTACTTAATCATTATTTTATACTCTTAATGATATACATTAGTTTGAATTGTGAAATTACTTTTTGGGTGTTCAAATGCGGAAAAAAATACTTTATCATAGTAATTATTCCACGTACGTCTTTTAAAATTCAGATAAAGAAGTCGTAAAATTATTTAGCTCATTGGTTCGTAAGACTAAGCAAGAAAACTGCAAGTTAATTATGTTGCAAGAATCAGTTTTAAGCCACCAGAAAATAACAATACCTGTTAAGCATTTGTAAGATTTTTCATTCAAAAAAGTTGCTATGCGTTTAAATAAAAGAAGGCATAAATGAAACAAATTAAAATGGTAATAATAATTTTTTTATTCAGTTCATTATAACAAAATTATGCTATTAATTATTTATTCAAACAGTTGTTTAATTAAATATTTAAAAAAAAAATAGTATAATTATTTTAGTTTTATATGTGTATGTATTATATAAATATTTATGTAAATAACAACAAAAATACAATTTTAAAAACTTGAAATTTAAAATTATATTTAAAAAACCGGGCTTCAAAATTTCGGGGATATACTATATAATTTAACTATTATCGCCTATAAAATGAATTTCGTAATAGTACAGTATTACTATAATTTCAAAGTCAATAATTTAATAAATTGTTACATCCTTTTTAGTTTAGAAAGTTGTTTAAATATCTCACATTATTTTCTCCATTGTAATTCAGTTTAAAAATAGAGCTTTTTCGGTATTTTAGTTCTTAGTTAGATTTGACAAGGAGTATGTTTTTTATTGAAGAATTACAAAATTGTGTTGTTCGATTTTTAAGTATTGTTTTGCAGCATGTTCTGTAGCTCATGCTGCAAGTAAAGTTTTAAAAAAGCTTTGGCGTATGAGCAATTTTAAAAAATTTAGTGCAAAAGTGATTTTTGACATTAAAAATTATTTACTAATGTAACCTGTTTAAATTTTTAAATTAATTTGAAATTGATTAATTAAACGAATAGCTGACTTAAATTCTGACATACTTGCGCATCACACAAAAATGGGAGCGTCAAATTTTGTAATAATTGAAATACATATTGCAAAAAAGCTTTTTTAGTTCTGATTAAGAACTTGCAGCGCATCATGCAATACCGAAAAAGCCCATATTTTGCTAACAAGTTACGAATTATAAGTGCGTTCGGTAACATTGGTATGTATCTGTTATCATATTCTTGAATTAAAAGAAATTATTAAATTTATTAATAACCAATTAAAGATATTTATGTTTTCTATAAATTTTTTTATTCTTTTTTTTTTAATTTTATTTTTATGCGTTGCCGTTTTTTATATAAAGTCCAGAAGTGGTTAAATTGCTATCAATTTGCTTTATTCACAATAATTCGAATTAAGTTGCCGAATAAAGTAAAATTATTGCTAAAAATTTTTAAGCAAGAGCAATCAAGCAATATAAGATGGTAAGTTCGTGTCATTGTAAGCACATTGATGTACTTTTCAATTTGTTCATTATTTTTATAATATATGATATTTAAATAGTAACATACATTTATAGTGACTTTCAAAATGTATTAAAAGTAATACGATTACACGATTCGGTATTTATTTCCTATAAACTATAATATTAAAATTTTTTAAAAATCAAATCGATAAATTTACTCATTTAAATTGATACTTAAACAATATCATATTCTTTGTTTTATAACTACAATAGTTAGTAGTTTGCTTAAGTACTCGTTCATTTGCTTTTTTTTCAAGAACAAAAACTTGCAAAATGTCACTTGTTCTTTCAATATTATAGTTTTCAAATAAGTTCAATAACGCTGATGTCAAAACTCCAGTAATACGGTACTAATTAAAATTCAGAAATTACATCTCATAGGTTGAATTCCGTAATAGTATAATATTGAAGACAGAGTACAAAAATAAGAAATGAGCGCAAAAATAAGAAATAATATCTTAAGAAAACCCTGACGTTCAAATTTTAGCAATACTTTATTATCGCATAATTCCATCAAAAAATACTTAGCCCTGTCATGAATTTTGTTTGAAATTTGGAAAATTACGAATATTATCAGCCCGAAAATTACGGATATCATATTACCAATAACGAATTACTAAAATTCTGCTCCGAATATTCGTAGTAGACTAATCATAAATTACATTCGTAGCTCGAATTACACTAGAAAATCTATGAAAGAAATAATCACTCGTAGCAAGCAATTTAAAGAGAATAGTCGTATATAATTTTCAAATTTTGAATTTGTTTGCTTGAGTTTGAATTACTCTAACAAAGCTACCATTAAAGGAAATGACTTCATATTGCCAAATTTTTTTTTCCATTTTTCAAAATATTCTAAAACTAAAAAAGTTGCATAACTTTCATACAAGAGGATATTTTAAAAATATTCTTTTGTATGATGTATGAAAGTTATTTACTGAAATAGCAACCAAAACAAAAAAATAAACATTTGGTATTAAAATAATATACTGATTTTGGCACTCCGAAAAAATGATACTGCCATTGGCGATTCATAATCTCCATGAAATTAATTTTGTAATCATTCAAAAGTCTACATCGTAGTTATTATCGTAATTCGTTCAATTCTATGAGTGGAATTCATGATAGAGCTGACTATGTATTTACAAAATTATATTGTAACATAATTTTATTAGAATTTGAACGTCAAAGGAAATAATTCCTGATTTAAAAATTGCAGTAATATGGTATCCATATGCAATTCGGTAAGTACAACTTATAAGCTGAATTGTATATTAAAATTATATTTCTGCAATTTTGAACTCTGAGTTTGTTTCGCACATATTATTTTATTTATTATTTTGTTTTTTTAATTTCGGTTTTAATTTAATTAAAAATTATCTATATCTTAAAATTTAATTTAAGACAATTAAAAATATATTTACTTGTATTTATTATTATAAAAAGTAGAATAAATCAAAACAAAATTTTTATCTATATCTCAGCTGCAAAAATTTATTTAAGGCACCAAAGTATTTTACTGCAATGAAAATTTTAAAGAAAAAAAGATAATTGTATAAGTTTCAGATTATTTTAATAAAATGTAAAAATGTCTGAGCCTACAAAATTGCGACAATACTAATACGCGTATTAGTATTGTCGCAATTTTGTATTCAGCTAACAAACTTGTATTCAGCTTACAAGTTATAATTCCTGAAATGTGCTGCAATACAATATCAATGCATTCTTGATGTCATGGTATATTTTAATTACGGCACTATTAGAGCACGTTTTGTATTATTTTACATTTCGGGAATAATATTTTATAAGCTGAATTATAAATATATTAATACTGTATTTTCTGCAATATATATATATTTTTTGGAAAATAAGTTTACTTTAAATTTCGCTACTTACAACAAAACGATTAACTTGAATTCTTGGTCTATTTGCGGTAATTGTTGTTTGATTTTTTAATTCTTCAAATTTAGCTCTTAATCTAGAATTAAATGTATTTAAAAATGAAAATAATATGAAAATATATAGATAATATATAGATTTTACGTTTTAGCGCTCTCTGTTTGACTTTCTTCAATATTTTCATGTATATTAACACCATTTGCGGTTCCATTGTTCATTTCACGTTTAATTTCATTTGCTTCCCATTTTTCAAATTTCGCTCTTAATTGTTTTGCTCGGGCAGCTGATTTAGCCTTCATATAATATTTAAAAGTATATCAAATTATGTTTTTTAAAGTAAAATCTATTTTAACAATAATTAGAAATCAAAATTGTAAGAAACCGAGAAAAATCTTTGATTTCAAAATTTCATCAGCACGGTATTAATACATAATTCAGAAATTAAAAGTTATAAGTTATTAAAAGTTGAAATATGTAATAATACTCTTATTTGAAAAATAATACTGTATGTTAGTAAGCAATAATACTGTATGTTATTCAGCTTGTGAATTTTGATTGCTGACTTGTGTAACAATATGTTACAGTGTTTTTTCAATTTTGCAATTTCAGAAAAAAAATTTAAAAATATGTATTATTACTAACCATTTCAATGAATTCATCATGATACTTTTTATTTTTTTTATTATATTCATCTTCATAATCGTCTTCTTCAATTTCTTCATCATATTCTTCTTCAACTTCTTCATCTTGTTCTTCATCATCATATTCTTCTTCATTTTCATCATCGGAATTATAGATTCGTCGATTACCATCTGGTGGTGGAGTAAATCTTTTTAATGGTTTTATGCAAGAACCTTGATTCGAAATGAATTTTTGTTGTTCCAGTTCACGAAAACGACTTAACATTTTTGTTGCAGTATGTTGTTGTTCAGCTATTATTGGGTCATCATTATAATTTGATTCATTTTTATTTTTGTTATCGTCATCATCCTCTGGTGATGGCATTTTAACAACACCTTCTCTTGGTGGTGTAATACGAAATTGTTTTTTAGGTTTATAATTCTCTTGTCCTTTATACGTTTCAAAAAATTTAAATTTCGATGAAATTTCTGATGTTTCAACTTTAATATCTTCTGGTTTTTCATCATATTTTACTAAATTTTCACCATTAAAAGGCTATTTATTTAATAAAAAAAAAACAAGCATGCTTATCAAGAAATTGTACATCAAATATTTTAAAAATGAGTTAAAATGATCTGAATTCAAAATTTTATAGTAATACTTCAATTAATAGACACTTAAGGTTATAAGATTTTAATGCTGAATTGTTTAGAAACGCGGTATTAAAGTAATACGGTATTAAAATAAAATTCAGCTTTTAATTTATTATTGCTAAATTGTGTAACAATACAGTAATATACTAAATTTTTGAAGTCAGGAATAGTTAAAACCACTAAAAATATTTTATTCAAAACATAAAAATTAAAAATCATCTCTAATTCTACAAGTGTTCGAAATTTTAAAAAATTATTTTTATATATATGACTAAAAATGCGTACGCTTGTATTCATTTAAATTCTTATAAATGTTTAAAATACCCTTAATAAATCCTCTTGTAATGGACTCACAGCTATATTTGATCTTGAATTATTTATTCCAGGTGTCCTAGGTGTTGATGGCATTGATGGACTTTTTGTCGCTGTCGCATCTAATTCAAGAAACAGTGAGCGACTTTGTTTACTAATACCAGATTCAAAAACATCCATTTCATCTTGAATTTTATTATGATCATGTTCCTTAAACATTTCACCTTTTTCAAATTTTTCTTTTAATGCTTTTGCTTTATCCCCAATATCAATGTCGGGTTTTTTAATAGCAGTTTTGATAGCTTAAAAGTAATTATATTATAATTTTACTATTGCAGTTGTGAAGTAAGAGAGTATATGTCATTAAATAAGGGTAATTAATAGTTAAATTAGGATATTGTTAAATATAAGATTAATAAAAAATCACTTACTTTGTTCACTATCAGCAACAGCTTGTTGATATTGTTCTTTAATTCTAGCTTGTTTGCCTAAAAATAAACGTGAACGAATATTTTGTAATTCCTGTTTTCTCTCTTCGCGACGTTCTTCACGTGTTTGTAGTGTTCCTCTTTCAAATTTAGATTTAATATCATTCATTTGATCAAAACGTATTGGACGCTCTCTTTGCGCTCTTTTAGCTCTAACCAAATCAGGATCTTCTTCATTTGAATCAATCGGTTCTTCGTCTTCAATATCTGAATTATCAGATAACTCGCTATTATTTTCGCTATTGTCATTTTCATCTCTATTACGAATGTTTGGTTGCTTTTGAAATCTACGAAAAAAAAATGTTTTATATTTTTAAGCTTAATTGTGCAGTATATTTTATTGCTAAAAAATTTATCTAACAAATAATAATTTACTGAAGTTTGTCGGAATACAGTAACGCACGGATAAGAGCACACTCTCGAAGATTTTAAATTTGTGCACTTACGTGTCATTTGCTCTTACGCATAAATGCACAAATGTAGACATAAATGTAATTTGAAAATTGGGAAATTTAAAAAAAAATAGTAGTATATTTTTATATTAAACCCAAAAGTTTGTTGTAATTCACATTTTATTGAAGTATAGAAAATCCTTTTTTTAATTTTTTCTTATTAAGGTTTCGGTTTTTTAATGATTTTTGTTAGTTTAACATGTGATTTAATTATTCTAGATACGGTACTAGTATTAATTCCATATTTCGTTTCGATCTATTAACCCAGTTAGCAGACCAGTTGATCAGGGAAATCCACTGTCATCGGAGATCGGTCCCATGGATTCTGAGGGACTTGAACATTGCCTTCTTCTATTATTTCCTGCAGGAGTTACATCCTTTAACAAGTAACAAGCGTGTATCTGAATCGGCCAGTAATATTGAAAATAAGGCCAACACAACTAGTTCCTCACTTGATGCCCAAGTAGCCGCAAAACTTACAACAGACGAAATTTTGGAATTGATATTAAGAAAACTTGACGATCAAACGTAGGAAAAAAACTAACGTAGAAATTTATGGTTATAAGTGCTATAACGCAGTTCAACCAGATAACAAAGGATTTGATGATTTCCTCCATCTACTGTCCCCAAAGGTATAATTTAAAAAATAGAGGACTACAGGTCAATGCTGGTCTACATGGGAAAGATCGGCACTTTCTGATCGGTGGCGATTTTAACGCTAAAACTACTTTTTGGGGTTCAAGACTTACTACTCTTACGGGTAGGACTTACTACCCTATATGAATCAGCAGCTGAAATGGGTTGTGACCTTCATTCCAAGTGAAAGCCCACTTACTGGCCGACAGATAGAAACAGAATTCCAGACCTTCTGGATTTCTTCATAAGTAGAGAAGCCTCTGAAAGCGAAAGTAACGGTCTGAAGTCTGACAACTTTCCAGTAATCTTGACGATCTCCGAAACAGTGATACTCGAAACAGATATTCACAAATTAATAAGCAATACAACTAAATGAGATTTATTCAAGGGCGTAGTTGAAAACAGCACAATTCTGAACATACCTCTAAAAAATAAGTATTAACATGAAGATGAGCTAGATATATTTGTTACTAACGTGTAAAACGCTGCTTGGAATAGCTCCTTAGAAATCAAAACAAAAGAAAAAAATATAAATTATCCTCTTGAAGGAACCTAGTAGCTGAAGAAAGAAGAACACGTAAAATATGGCAAATTACTAGACTTTCCCAGGATAAAACTCGTAAACCATAACCAAATCTTTAAACAATTTATTAGCTGACAAAGAAAACAGTTATTTCCTATGGAAAGCTGACGAATGTTATTGAAAATGCATTAGAAAATAAAGAGAATTGCTCTACAGCCTTTTTGTGCGTGATCCAATCATTCGACAGGGTATGGCACAGGGGTCTCAACTTCAAAATAAAGGAAAATCGGCCGGAGCTGTTTCCCAGAATGCTGAAGTCTTACCTTGTAAACAGGCTATTCATGGTCAAATTTGAAGGGGAATACTTAAGTTTTAAAAATTTTTGGGCTGGTGTACCTCAAGGAAGTGTCCTAGGGCCTCTTTTCTACCTTATTTACGCTAGAGACATCCCGCAAAGTGATGAAACTTTTCTGATAACATTTGCGGGCGGTACAGTGATACTGTCAACTGCAAAAACTGTTGGCGAATCCACGTATAAGTTATAAGGATCCTTAAACAAAATATCTACTTGGACCAAAAACTGCAGGTTTCAGCCTAATGGATCTAAGTCAGTTCATGGAAACTACACTAATAAAAAAGGTGAACCGATTAGGGTCCTACTTAACGGCTTGGAAATTGCGTTGTAATAGGGAACAATGGAAGATGCGCCCATTTCAAATTCAACCAAAAGAACTGCTAGATAGGAATCACTTTCTTAATTGCAATAAAATAAGAATAAAGAAAAATAAAAAAAAAGGTTGGACGAGTTCTGCATTTATCCGAGTTACACTTAAGCGTGTTTTACTGTATATAGAATTATTGCGGGTTGTATGTGAGGAATTGTTCACGTTAAAGAGTAGTATGTATTTATTAATTACCTTGCAACTTTTTGTAAAATTGATTGACTTCTTTTAATTTCCGGAAGACTTTTTTCTTGTAATTCTTTTTGTTGCTGTTTACGATTTTCTTGAAAGTTTTCGAAAACTTGAAATCTTGACCGTACATTCAATTGTTGTAATTCTTCTAAACCTAAATCAGCTTTATCAGATGCTCTTGCAACATCAGGTGGTAATTCAGTTGGTTGATTTTCTCGTATAATTAGCTCATGTTTTTTAGGTTTTACTAAATTGCCGAATTAGAAAAAAAACACAGAAAAAAATAGTAACATAAGAATTGTCTACTAAAATGAAGATCTAACATGAACTTAAATTTTTTAGCAATACAATTTCAATTGCTAAATAGGTAAGTTTATGATAATTCTGCAATCACAGCATATTTTATATTTGTATGCGATTTTTAATGTTACCGATAATAAATTTCCCGTTATCTAAATTGCAGTAATAATTTCTTACTACACAATTCAGCAATTATCATTTGTCAGCTGAATTGTATATAAGTACAGTATTACTTCAAATTTGATATTAGAGAATTTAGTTTTTTTTTAATTTTTATATTATCAAATTACCAGGTTCGTTATCCTCAACAGCTTTTGGAGCCATTAAAATTTTAAAATGTGGTTTACAGTAAAGAACACCCTCATGACTTTCAAATGTATCAACACTGATAAAAAAAGTAAATGAATTTTTAAATCGTTTAGCATATTAATATACAACATTTACATTCATTTTAGCAATTTATGTTTAAGCTGAATTGGACTTAACTATATGTATGATATTAAAGTGTCTACCTCAATACAGATTTAATGTCAATTTATTTTATTCAGAAATGTATTTTTAGTTGCTGAATACAAGTTTAGTTAATGAATAATTCAAATTGAACAACTAAATCTGAAAAAATAAAATAAATTTCATTTATTCAGCAATTTAATTGTTTTTTATTGGAATTGATCTTAAATCTGTGTTTGTCTAGTGAATATTATTAAGCCTTACCGTGATTTCAAAATTGCAATAATAGGGTATAATCGGAAAGTAATCGATGCAGCATCGATGTGTAATCATGTAAAAATCACAAATTTTCAAAAATGTTATCGCATCATATAAAATTAGCTGTGCATTAATTTTTTTTGCGATTTTATATTGATGCAAAGTTTTTTATGCAAAGTGGAAGCTCAGAACCAAATAATTTATTATTTTAACTCAATAACTAACAAAGTTAATTATTTCTTTATGTACGGTATTAATATTTTTAAATATTGCATTATATTAAAATCTCCAAAACTTAATTGAAATTAAAAAAAAAATTTTATTAGATTTTCAGTTGTTAATAATTTTGATACTCTTATACAAAACCTTTTCAAAATAAACGCCAAAAAACATATGATTTAGAAAGTGTCCAAAAAGTCAAAATATTGGCAAGGTAAACGCATCACATCGGTACAGTATCAGCCACTTTTTTTGAATCGACGCTGCATGGATGCAAATTTTTGATTACTTTCCGGTTATACCCATATTCTATTGCTAAACAACTCTGAGCAATTACAACTCAAAAGCTAAAATATCTATGCATTAACATCATATTACTTCATTTTTGAAATTAGAAATGTACATATAAATAAAATTTATTTAACTTACTTTAATTGTTTATTGCAAACAGTACATTTAAAACAAGATTTATGCCAAGATCCACGTTCAGCCTTAATTTCTTCCATTTTATATGTTATTTTACCGCATTTACGGCATGTTGGTTCACCTTGTGGGATTGTTGGATCCTAAAGATTTTTATTTATTCATTTTTTTTAATAAATTTAGAAATAATAACTATTTGAAAAAAATGGTACACCAATATTTACAAAATAAATTCAAAATTGACTCATACAGCTATATATATTTATATATGCCCTGATTTCAAAATTTCAATAATGCAGAATTAAAATACAACTCAGCAATTAAAATTCATAAGCTGAATTTATACATTATTACTGCAATTTTGACACCAGGGAGAAAAAATAAAAAATAATGCGACATTTAATGAAAAAAGGTGAATGACACAATGCACATAAAATAAGTGCAAAGCAAACTTCTTAGTGCATCAACAATATTATTGCAAAATTTCATTTATTTATTCTTTTTACTATAATAGTATATATGTAAATATACATATATTGCATACAATAATAGCATATATGGAAACATAGTATACACGTTACAATCAGTTTAAAAAATTTTCAGTTCAAAAAGTTGAGATGAATAAATTTTTAAAATAATTTAAATATAATTTCAAAATCTCCTATGACTTCAAATTTGCAATAATAAGTTATATATACATATGTATTTCAGTTTATGTGTTATTAAATTTCGGAGTTCTGTAGCAATACAGTTCTACCATAATTTCAAAGTCATGAAATATTTGAAAGTTATGGCGATTCAATTTTACAAAATGGTGGAATCAAAAAATTTTTATCAAAAATTGTTGTCAAAAATAGTTGTCAAAAGTGAATTGAACAAAATGCTGATTTAAAGCGAAATTTACTTGTTCAGAAACATAAGTTTAATTTTTTAACTAAGACCAAATTGCAGAATAAGTGTAGCTTGGCTTATAAACTGAGTGTAACGTGTAAAAAAAGGATTGAATAAATAAATGGATTTCATTAAAAAAGCAAGCTAAATTGGCTTAACGTCAACATTTCGAATGAAAACAAACCAAAAAAAAGCAAAATTAAAATATGTATATATGTACATATTTATGTATTCATTTTACAAATACAGTGAAATCATACTTATATAGATTTTTATTTTTTTTCAATTACAAAAAAAATCTTATTACGAAGTAAGCATTCATTTTGCGTGATTCGCTTCATAAATTAAACTATAAAGTAAAAATATTATGAAAATGGGATGTTTTATTTTGAGAAGCAAATCAGGTATAATTGGCATTATACTCGTATAAGTATTGCAAAAATTTTATAAATAAAGCTTATGCGTAAATTAGTTTGAGCTTAATTATTATTGATAATTTATTCTCTTGATAATTTATATTTATCAAAATAACTTTTTTTGAGAAGTTAATCACTTGATTGACTTCTCAAAATAAGCCCCATTATTAACAATCATAAAACCACATTAATAAAATATATTATTTTTTGAGATAGCCGGCGGAGATTTTACGATATGTAATTTGTTTTTATGCAGACACCCTTCTCATTACAAATCACAATGGCAAATATTATTAAAAGAGTTACGATATAATAATATTTTAATATTTAAAAAATTTCACTGTACTTCTGTTTTTCTTTTTTGTTTCTGTATATTTTTATTTATTTATATTTTATGCATTTTTATTTAATTAGTCAAATATTTATATATACAAGATATACTACACATTCTTTTTAAAGAGAAACTAAATTTATCATTAACGAGAAAAAATAAAGTTGACTTTGTCAACTCTGTGATACCCGTACGAATTTGTTATCCTGTGTGCGAATAAATATGCCATAACTGATTATGGGACAGAGTATGACTTTAAGTTGCCGTATTACCATATTAGTTTATGCAAAATTTCAGTACTGTATTTTGCAAAATACTGTGTGTGCCAAATAACTTTTGAAGTTGTACAGCAGCTACCAGAAGGATCCAAGCAATTTCAACGACTTTTATCAAACACATTGGCCCTACTAATATATTCGTTTTTTGTAATATTTCAATACCATAGCTTTTATAGTCTCTGAGATAGATACAAATAATTTTTGAAGTTGTATGGCAGCTACTCGAACCAGTACCCCGATCATGTCCAATTTAAATAGGGTTCTGGCACTTACTATAATAAATCAATTGTGAAAATTTAGTGAACTTAGCTCAATTAGTTTTTGAGTTATCGCTGTGACGGACGGACGGACAGACAAAGCTAAATCAACTCATAATTCGACGCTGATCAAAAACATATACTTGAGTCTATATCTCAAAACATTATTTCTTAGCGTTACAAACGGTAAGGCAAATTTAGTATAGCCTTCGAACATACGTTCGTAAGGGTATAAAATTATGTTGATGACAATAATTTGTAGTTTGCGCGATTATTATAGCTACAGTGATGCCTTATGTATGAAGCACATAGCAAAACAAAATAATTACAATATTATGGTCATTACAAATCGTATCTAAGCTTATCGTACCTAAATCAGTCGAAGTAGCAATGAAACACGTGTCACATAAAGATCGGTTCTTAGTACCCCATCTATACCAACACTTTCAGAGAGCCTATGACTTTGAAATTGTAGTACTACATTACTACACAGTTCAGTAATCATAACTATTAAACTGAATTGTGTTTTAATATTGCATTACCAAGATTCTTAAGTCAGGGAAGATCACTAAAAAAATGAATCCACAGCTATGATACTTAAGAAAAACTGATATAACTGCTACATAAATCAACAATTATAATATATTAGCTGAATTTTTTTAGTAATGTAAAATATTTAGCTACGATAATTATTGATGTTAACGAATATTGCATTATACAAATATTTTATTTGTATATATATATATAATCGCTAGTCAATTAGTATATCCTGTATATTATATATATGTGTGTATGTAAAATATTCCGTGACATTCAAATTTTACTGCAAAACTATGGAACTTTATAATATAATATATAATTCACTTTATAAATACTAATTGTTGAATTATGTATTTTTATAATATTATTGAAATTTGAATGTCAGAGGATATATCTTTATGAAGATATAATGAATGATTAGAAAAAAAAACATATACATCAAATTTTTTTTTGGGCGTTTACCCGAATCAAATTTATATAAACCTACATGTATAGAGTTTTTCTTTTGTAATGCATCAAATTTTCTAAAACTTGATTTCTATATTGAAATAAAAAAAAAGAAAAAAAAAAATAAAAACAAAATGTAAAATAAACAAGTTTATTTACAAATTTATAGAGATAAATATAAAAATATTTTATATTAAAAACAAAATACCTATATACAGGGTGATTCACAAACAAGCTAGGAGCCATATACCATCGAATGGAGGGTCGAAAATTAATAAAATTTTTTGTTCGGAGCAGTGTTAATGTAACTGTTTCCGAGCTACAGGGATTTTAAGAAAATTCAACGAAATTTTAACATACTCCAGTTTTTTTGCTTATAACTTCCGTACCAAAAAAGATAGAAGTTTCAAAAAATTGTTTTTAAAAGAGCTTCAAGAGGGCTGCAATTAAAGAACAGTTTATTTTTTGGTTGTACATGTTTTTTTTTTCAAAAATACAAGCATTCGAACTTTAGAAAAATTCTAATTTTTCTCAACTTTATTTTTTTGCTTTTTTGTACCGACAATTTCTCATGAATTTTTTTGAGACTTCTAAAATTCTCTTAAGCGTTAACTTAAGTCCAGTTTCTTAAGTTTCAAAAGGACAAAAAAAGTAAAAAAATAAAAGATGAGAAAAATTGGAATTTTCCTAAAGTTCGAATGCTTGTATTTCCGAAAAAAACATGTCAAATCCTCTCAAAGATCTTTCAAAAACTATTTGTTTGAAACTTCTATCTGTTTTGGAACGGAAGTTATAGGCAAAATTTTCTTAAAACCTTGCAAACGGTTCCGAACAAAAATTTTACTCATTTTTGACCCTCTACCCAGTATATGGCTCCTAACTTGTTGGCGAATCAACCTGTATAATCCGTAACTTCAAAATTCCATAGTAATTCTATAGTTATACACAATTCAGCAAATTCAAATTAAAAGCTAAACTGTGTAATAAATGCCTCAATACTATACTATTGAAAGTATAGTATAGTGAAAGTATTGTACTAATTACTAGTGTATATATGAGCTATATACAGATTAATATATAAGATTGTTGCATCATAATATAGCAGTGTTTTTACGCTGGATACAAATATGCATATGTATCTACGCATTCTCCTTATGACTGCATAAATTCAATTATATATCTTTAATTTTATTTCTTAAGCCATTATTTCCGTGTTACTGAGTAAAATAAGATCGATTATTCAATTTTGAGTTCATATACATAATACATTGTTTATTAGTGTATATTAGTGCATTTTTAAAGTCAAAGATTCCTGATTATATATTTAATGCGTTTATGAAGGAACTATTAATTTTATTTATATAAAACTACAATTATATTATATATACATAATTTCCCCATATGTATGTTGACATATAATATGAGATTATAACGAATTTTGAATATGATATGAGATATAACGAATTTTAAAAATAAATAATTATAAATTAGAATTATATATTTTTAACAAATGATTTTTGTAATAAAACTAAAAACTTCTCAATCTTATATCCCTCAATGCGTTACATACACGTTATAAATCAATTAAAATTACAATTAATACTATATTATGAGTGCTAATTGCTGAATTTTAAAGTTACACAGTATTAAACGTGGCTTACTCACAAAATTATTTTAAATGCTTAAAAAATTCAAAAATTGCATATGTTTAGGGGAAACATGTACGAGTATATATTTTTTACGTACTGAACACAAAGAGAAAAAAATATTTGTTTAAAAAAAAACGAAAATGTACAAAAAAAATGTGAAAAAAAATTCATCGAATTTTAAATGAAATTTTATACTTTTTGTAATAGAGGTAGACAATTTTATTGCTTCACTTCAGATTTGAACATTGAATTCGTAGCATAAGAAAAATACAGTTAATTTCTAAATTGAATTTTAAAGTCCTATTAACAGCAATATTAAGAACTTGAAGCAAAACTGTACAATTTTCTTCAGAAATTAAAAGTTTCTATATGATTCAGCCCAATAATGTGATTGTTTGAATTAGATTCAATTTAGAAATTTTTTAGTGAAGAGGAATATACTTTCTATAGAAGAAAAAAAATATATAAATAATCGATCAATTCCCATGTAGAGCAATCAATTCGATTTCATCTTATCGTGTGGAAAAAGGGGAATATTATTTAACAATTCGTTACACTAAACATACATATGGTTTGAAAAGAATGGCAATAAATAAACCTTCTAGGGTAACATTTTTTCTTCTCACGAATTTTTTATTTGATAAGACAATGTCTAATATAGAAATATTAGACATTGTCTTATCAAATAAAAATAAAACGAGAAATTACAAGTTAATTTTGCGCCTCGCTATGAGAAATTATGCATTGCTGAATCATACAGAGTAAAAACAAAATATCCGATTCCAAAGGAATTCCAAATGCTGAATAATTTCATTTGCTGAATTATATAGGAAATATTTACAACATATTAGTGTTGATAAAAACTTATAATTTTAATGTCATTGTTTACTGGAGAAAATTTTTTCTTTTGTTCCTTTTTCGATTTCTTCGTTGTGTCATATGAACTTTTTATATGTAAAATTTTTGACGTACTCTATAACCTTCTATTTAATTCAGCAATTAAAATTATTTTGCTGAATAAATCAATATAGTTGACTTTAGATAATCATATTTTTTGTTTTGTTTAACTTCTTTATTTTTATATGTAATGTATATGTGCTAGCATATATTTGGTGACTAAATAAAGCAAATTCGTGTATTAAAATATAGTAATCAGGTATTTACAAAAATTCAATAGAGGAATGAATTTCTAATGTAATATTTTTTTGGGTAAAAAAAAGAGAAAAGAAAAACCTTATAATAATAGAAAAAATATTAATTTTACGATTATATCAAAAAAATTTGATGGCATATAGGTAATGAGGGAACAAACACCAACTTACCACTGATATATTTTCTTTGGTATCGTCAGATTTTTTTGATTTTTTCAATTTTTTTTTACCATTTTTATCAATTGATTTCTTTCTTGATAGTTTTGTTGTTATTACTTGATCATTTATATCATTATCATCATTATTATCATCATAATTATTATTATTATCATAATTAATATTTGTTGTATATTCTTCTTCAATTGAATCAGTTTTATCAATTGAATCAGTTTTATCAATTGAATCAATTTTTTTACTCAATGATGATGATTTTAATTTTTTACTAGAAGTTTTATTTAATAATTTTTTATTACTTTTTGTTGCTGTTACTGATTCCTGCTGTTTTTGTTCTTGTTGTTTTAATTGTAATTGTTGTTGTTGTTGTTCATCACTTTCATATTCTTCTTCATATTCAATACTACTATTATTAAAGTTATGTTTTTGTTGTTGTATTGATGATAATAATGATTGATGTTGTTTAAGATGATTTGTTTCAATTGATGACGATGTTTTCAATGATGAAGTTTGAGTAATTTTTTTAATTTTCTTAGTAGCAACTTTTGTTGTTACTGTTGCTGTTGATGATGATCCTGAAGATACAATTGATTGTTGTTGTTGCATTAGATCCATATTTTTTTTATTGCTTTTTTGAAATACTGTTCTTTTTGTGTTTTTTTCCTTTTCGTTCTTTATCTAATATCTATATACGCACAAGTGTTGTATTATACAACACAAGCATGCAATAATCATATAGTAAAAGAAAGAAACCAAAAAAATTAGTAACATAAAATTTATCCTCTGAATTCAAAATTACAGTAATATAGTATTATTTTACAGCTTTAATTTTTTAATCAAGTTATTTTGTTAACATATGTATATATTTAATAGTATACACTTAAAAGAATCGCTGCACTGAAAGTCTGAGGAAAAAAATTTTGTCATGAAAAGGCAGAAAAAACTGTCAAACGTCAAAGCCTGTTGTAGTTTTGTTTGAGTAAATAGAAAGAATAATTTGAAATGAAGAAGTAAAATTCGATATATTAACTCGTAGAGAAAAGTACTATGTATATACTATGTGTAGGTTTGCAAACTTTGAAAATGTTCTATTCTACAACGTTTATCTGCCCATGCAGATTTTACTTGATTTAGCACGTGATAAAAATTACATATGTATATAAAATATTAGAGAGGCTGAACTATAATATATATATATATATAAATATACATACATAAATATATATACATATATATATATATATAAATATACATATATAAATATATATACATATATATATATATATATAAATACAAAAGTAAACAAAAAGGCAATAATTGAGATGATCACTTGCAGTACAACATTCACAGAGTAATTTACAAAAAAATCTGATGTGGTCAGCACATAACCGACCTCAATGTGTATTCTAGTTTAGCCAAAGTATTACAGAACATTATAAAAATGCCTTTCAAGGACTTCTTTCCAATTTTAAGTAAGTTAGTAAGCTTTTAATTAATATACCTATAAAAATGTTTATTTGGCTAAGTAGAGTATCGCTTTTTGCCATCCGAATTCCCTGAAAAGTTCGCCAGTTAGTTTTGCTAACAACCAGAACTCAAATATTAAGTTTAAAAAAATTTCATCATTTAGCTCTGCAGATATGGTAAAAAGCGTAAAATCGGCCCCTATATCGGTTTTCGAACCCTGATTCCAAAAAACTTACTGGATCATTATTTTAACATCCCGAATTTGAATTATAAATTTCAAGAAAATTGGTTTATTGTACAAAAAATTTCCGGATAAATGTATAGTTCCCTGATACATCCTAAAAGCTGATCAATTCGTGATATATCCCAAGTAAATTCACATATAAAATTTCATCAAAATCGGTTAAGCCGAACTTGAGATATACGCGTGCACACCAATGTTGTTATTTTTATTGCAACTGTACTTTTTTACTATATTTTAACATTCTACACTATTGTACTATTGCAAAGTCTTTTTTACTACTTTTTTGTTTTTATACTAGAAAAGGCTATTATTTGTATTTGTATTATGAAAATGTCTCTTGTATTGATAAAAAAATTTCTTTTGTATTGGTTCTACAAAGACATCTTGTACTACAAATAAATTAAATTACTTTGAAATTTCATATTACTAAAAGAATATGTCTCAATTAAATTTCCATATTACCGAGAGCTCACGATTTTCATTTTTAATAGGAAGTATAAACGCAAAAGTGCTGAAAGCGGGTGTAAGATTAAAGTTTATTGAAGTTTGTTTGAAATATAATTTTGTGATATCGTAAATAAAATTCTGCACAAAGCTGAAAAAAGTAAAAATATGTACTCCAGTTCATTTATAATTATAAAATATGAATTGAATTACTTCGTTCCGTCCATTTGCATTATATATATATATAGTTCTATGATTTGACCTACACATTTTTTTCTGTTAATTCATTTCAAAATTTTGTTCCAAAGTTGTTCTTATTTAAAATTAAAAAAGTTGACAAAATAAAAATATAATTTTCTTCATAAATGAAATTTGATTTGAAATCAATTTTAAACAAATGGTAGTGTGAATTAATTTTAGGGCAAAATGAAATTTCGATAGCATTTTTTTCGAAAATTATGCTTTTTATTTATTTTCAATTCAATTTTCTATAAAAAAAGTTGAATTTTTGTTGAAAAAACCTAAAATAATACCTGTGTATAGAAAAATATAATTTAAAGTTTTCTTAATCACATGTCCAAAAAAAAAAAAATCGTAACTCTTTGTTTGGTTTTAATGATAATGGATAAACTTAAGCCAAATTACTAGGCTTAAGCTCTTCATACTACTTTTTTGAGACAAAATGCTACCAAAAACAAGTTAAAAATAACAACTCTGGTCACATAATCTTCCTTATTGTATGCAATGCGGTCGGTAAAAAATAAAAAAAGCAATGTAGTAAAATAGAAAATACTTTAAAAGAATGTAGAAATAAAGGAGAAAAAAAATTTAATTAAGTATAAAAATAGAAAAGGTATAAAATGGCATAAACACAAAAAAAAAATAATGAGAAATGTAGAGAAAAAATAATATAGAATAGAGTATATTCTATATTAATTATATATTTGAATATATCATCATACAAATTCATACAAAAACGGACACACATACACACACGTTATCATTACATTGATCTTTTTTGTATATATGAACGGTCAGACCGATGACCTAATATTTTAAAAGTAGGTACCCGATTTTATAATTTGTTTTTGTTCTTTTTATATACATATCATACTTTATAGCTCTATGCGGTTTATAAATATTCCTTCCTTGTGATATACAAGAACAAACTCCAACAATAAAACATTAAAATATTTTTAAAAGAGTTTCCGTGTTTTTTTTATTTTTTTTTTGTCGTGTTTTATACGGAAGAGTGAGTTTGCATTTTATTGTTATATGTTGCGCTACTGAAATTTTACATATTTTACATGCGTGTACTCTATTTTAGTTTCTTATGTATACCAAATTTAAAATCATACCACATTTTTTATTTTTAAAGTTATTGTTAATTTTGAAAATTAATAGAATACATATATTTTATTCATATATACAGATATCCCCCGTATGAAGCGGTTCTATTTCTACAATGCGTTTTCGATATAAGTATATTTTTTTTTAAAAACAAAAATTTTTAATTTCATTAGTGCAAATTACATAATAAGAAATTTTGACTTACATAATGAGACAATGACAGATACTATTATGTCGAAGAAAATTTTTCTATTATACGAACCTATTATAAAATGCTCGAAACTGAATATAATGGCGTTAGAAGAGAGTCAAACGAAAAATTTATTTGAACATAACCTTCGAATTTATTATGAAAGCTTCTAAAATCTTCTATAAATTGACCTGTATATGGAACATTACCGCCATGCTGTACAAGGAATACCATACTAGATTGGTATTCCTTGTATAATTTTGAATGTATTACTTTGAAACGTAAGAAATTGTTATATGTAATACACCTACTTCTGTTTTTCCGTGATCACATATATAGAAATTTGAAGTTAAATATAATTCACGGTTATACGAAATGAGTTTTTCTCTTACTATGATATATAATGATTGTGCTTCTTTTAAGAACAAATATTAAATACTCCTATTTAATTATATACATATGTGTGTAACGCTCCTGCAAACTATTATATACATATATGCATATAAAATTCTTCAATATATGACAACCTACATATATATAAACTATATACTTTATAAGAAAGTGATTGTGAATTGTATAGAATATATACAGACCATTTATGTAGATATTGCCACAGAATAGATGGAAGCAATGATACGATAAGCTTCATAAATCGAATGGCTTAGCATATACCTTGCAAACACATCTACTCATCTCCTGCACATATATGTCGTATATGGGGTATAACGTGGGCTCTACTAAATAATGTCTTTCTTTTTCCGGACCACACTATGATCTAATGAAAATCCTTGACTTACAGAGGTATAAAGATATGACCGAGCTTTCCGAAAAAATGTTTCACAAAATGATTATACAAAAGATGGCATTTGAAATCATTCTTTTTTCGGACTTCAATGTAAAATCAATGCAAAACATATTTTTCAGAATATGTACGGCCGTCTCCTCGTCATCCTGGGGGAATGAAATATACAAAAGGGAGTCCGATTTGCCCAGTTTGTACAAATGATATTACACCGAACAGTGTCCAATGAAAAAACTAGTAACAGCACGAACCCGATTACAGTTCGTACCAAGCAGCTGTGAGGAAAACTCCTTTGAGCAAGGTGAAAGAAACAGCTTCGTGTGATAACATTCCTCTAGCCTCCCAAATATATAGATGATGAAATGTTTTTTAGGACAAAGAAAAGAGTAAATAATAAATACATGACGCAAATATAGAAAAAGGTGTTGTTAAATAAGATAAAAAATTAGTAATGAATTTAAATATGGGAAAATGAGTTGTTTTTCTTTGAATTTTATGAGTTGTTTTTGAAATTTTTCTATATATATCTACATACATATGTACATAATAGAATTTTAATTTTTTAATACTATGTATACATACGTATGCAAATATATGTAAATCACATGCATTATTAAAAATAACATATAGGTAATACGAGCTAAATAAGAATAAGCAAAACCAGACAACTAAGAATTTTTATCTATATAAATATATATAAAAAAATATTGCGAGGGAGACAAAAGATAACATATAATTCTTAAGAAGTGTGATTAAAATATAATTAACGAAAACTATATAAAGTGAAAAATCTGAAATAGAATTTGTGCTGAATTATATAATTCAGCACATATCACTTAATTTTCTGTATTATGTTATAATGCAAATTACAAAACACAAAAGTCAAAGAGAGAAAGAGAAAGAGAAGGAAAAAAGGGCAAATAATGGAGATATCGTATTAATATTACTACTAATATTGTAATTTATTTTTATAATATCCAGTAAGTTAAGGGATTTTTTTATTATTTTATTAGTTTATTACTTCAAAAAATCTGAAGTGGTCAACACATAACCGGCCGCAATGGGTGTTGAGTTAGTGAAAGTGTTACAGAAAATTATGAAAATGCGTTTCAAAAACTTCTTTAGAAATTGAAAGATACTAGTAAGCTTTTAGTTACCATTCCTCGAAAAATGTAAATTTGACTTAGTAGAGTTTTGCTTTGTGCCATCCGAATTTCTTGAGAAGTTCGCCAGTTAGTTTCGGTAACAACCAAATATCAAATATTAAGTTTCAAGAAATTTCATCATTCATTTCCGTAAAAAATGTAAAATCGACCCCTACATCGGTTTCCCAACCCTGATCTTTGCGCAAAACTTATTGGTTCATTGTTTTAACATCCCGAATTTAAATTATGAATTTCAACGAAATTGGTTGATTATTTTTCCTTATATGTGCAAAAATGTAAAATCGGCCCTGAAAAATGGGCAATTCTCTAATATATCCCAAAAGTTGATCATTCCGTGACGTGGTTAAAAAAAAGTCACATTAAAATTTCATTAAAATCGGTTCAGCCGAATTTGCGATACACGCGTACACACACAAAACCGACATTTCACCAAAAATAATTTGTTTACACTTTCCTACCATGGAAAACTGCATTGCCACCGAAAAGTCGGCATGCGAAATTTGGTGCCATCACATAACTTCATTATTGTATGTAATGCGGTTGGAAAAAATGTAAAAAAAAAAAACCCTGGTCGTTTCACTTTTCAAAGTAAAATATCGATAAATACATTATTTTACTGCAAAAATAAAGATTTTTTTTGTAATTGCCTTCAACACTTCCGATTTATTGTATACCGCTCTAAGATTTAAAAATGTTAATTTTTTATCGTCTATTTCTTTGGCACTTAAAGTTCCTCAAATCGATTTCCTGTAAAATTGAAAGTAACATAGTAGTCGCTCGCTTATCAGTAAAATATATTTTAATTTCTTATTTAAAATAATTATAAATCCTAATTAAATTCTTAGACTAGACACAACAGGATACTTTTTATTGCAAATTTTTTTACTTTAATATTCATCCTAAATTTATGCAAAATTATATGACAATAAATAAACTATGGGGAAATTCTGCATTATACAAAACAAAATAGTTTGATCGACTATATTTTTTTTTATTTAAATAAAAATTAAATGCCAATTTGATTTATTCGTACGATATTGAAAAATTGCATTGTTGCAGTTATCAGTATACAGGGTTATTCAAATACCAATTTCTTCCATTTTATATTTGTTTAATTTTGTTCTTCTTTATAATTTTGTGTGAAAGTTTCAGAAACTTTAAATTTTTTTGTTATAGAATTTCGGCCTCTTTCTTAAGCTTTAATTTAAGTCCTCAAACGATAAAAAATCTTTTACGGTACAAGAGATAAAAACCATTTCTATGTCAAGATTTTAGGGGCCCTAATAAAATATAAAAAATCAAAAATATTTCACTGTGTAATTTCACTGTGCTGTAATTATAAAATATTAGTAATTTTTGGTGACAAAAGTCTCTTTAAAAAACAGTTGAAATTTTCATGATTTAAAATATTTTAAATTTTTAAGATTAAGATTTTTTTAAGATTTTAATTATTTTGTTCTGTAGAAAAACTCCAATTATCAATATAAAAATAAATAGACTAAAATATATCAATTATAGCATTTTTGTAACTACTAAATTAATTAATTTTTCTATTTCATACGTTTAGCCTAGAAAACACTGATGTGATGTTCAATCAACTACGAATATTGAAGTGATAAAAATTACTATCACGTCGTATGAAAAGTTTTACAGAAAGAGCACACGCGATGATTTTGATATCTGCTATCACGTCAAAATTGGTACCATTTTTAATTATCACGTCTACGACTACTAAAATAATACATAGAAATTATAGTATCAAACAAGTATTAGTAAGTTATTTATAAGTTTCTCAAGTAAAAGTTTAAAAGTTTTTTTCAGAAATTTTGAAGTACTTTACCAATCTAAAAAAATTAACGTACATTTTATTTTAATTACATTTTATTTTAATATACAAATTTTCTTTGTGGGAAGGTGCAATGGATTCAACAAATTACTAACTATTGCTTTAAAACTTTCTTTTTTTGTTTATATGCAAATAACCATAATATTTTTCATTTTATTCAATCTTAAATTTTGTGAATCACGTCACCTGTTAATGCTACCAACCTAAAAATGTTTTTTAATCTCTCTACAAACACGATTACCAGAAAAGCATCTTAGGTAAAGTGACGTGATAGTTTTTTGTTTTTTTTTATCACGCCGGAGACGCGCCTAGAATTTGGGTATATAATTCTTGATTATATTGTTATGGTAAATTTTAAGCGGACTACCAAGCAAATGAACATTATATAATAAAAACAATTATTCGCAATCTGTTTTGTATCTTAAATAAAATTTCTTGTGTTTTTGCATAATTTTTTTTTCTTCAAACGTCACTCACTTTTTTCTTGTTTTATTTTCATATGGTTTTTCTATGTATTTGTTTGTTTTATTTTTTTAAGTTTTGTGCTGAAATTGTTTCTTTTTTGTGTATTGTTTTACACCATTAAAATGTCATCCCTTTAAATAAAATTTTGAAAAAAAAAATGCACAATTTTCAAAAAAAATAAAAAAAAAAACAAAAAACGCACAACCCAAACGGATTCGGATAAAAAGAAAATAAATAAAAAAAATTTATTACACACAAAAATTACGCGTGTACACTTCTAGTTATTAACTAAACGCCGCAAAGTTGTGAACTGAAAGATTAAAGAGGAAATAAAATAGTGGAAGAGATTTTTTTGGTTTTTGAAAATTAAGAAAATTTTCTTCAACACACGTATAGCGAAAAGTAAAGAAAAGCGAGAAAATTGTTCTAAAGGTGACTAATATCACTTTTAAGGCAAAACGTTATTACCATAAGAATACAAAAAAAAAATTCAATTCTGCAATATTCTTGAAGAAAAATTAAAAGTTGTGCAGAGATTGCTTTTCTGCTATACATAATAAGCGTTTATAAAATTTTATGAGACCACTTCAAAGATAGTTGTACAAAAATGTGAATGAAGAAGAAAATAAGAACTATTTTTTTGAAGGACAATTTCTTTTTCAATGACTTGAAGGAACTAATTTAGGGAAGTTCCATTCCGGCGATGTCATTAAACTCTTTGAGGGAAGATAATATTGTTGGCGAATTTGTTTTTTTTTGCTTTTTATTAATTCGGATTAATACTGTAATACTGTAAAAGTTATTCATAAGAGGGTTCTATTTTATTGGTTGCTTTGCTATTAGTGTTTGGTATGCATAGAGCCGTGTTAGCTGCCTTTATTATCTTAGCTTAGTATCTTATTGTTTTCTTTGTATCGTATCCATTGTTGAGTCTATTGTAATATTGTTTAATACAAAAGTTGTTTAGATACAAAGAGCAGAATGATAGCCATCATAAAAGTAAAAACAATTTGAAAATTCTATTTTCAAAATTATTTTAGAAAAAGGAAAGAGAGAATTATTTAAAAAAAAAAAAACGTGAAATTTTCCACATATTTTTTTTATGAAAAACTGTAATTTTTCTTTACTTCTCAATATTTTGTTTTTTCCTTTTGCTTTCTTTTTTTCAATTTTGTTATACGAGTATATAATATTGTATTTATTGTTTCTAAATTGTTCGTACAAAATACATAGAAAAATTTCACCATTAAATTAAATTTGAATTTTAATACATTTTTAATGAAAATTTGAAGAAAAAAAAAGTACTTAATATTTACACTTCGTCTGTTTATTTATCACTTTGTAATGATTCTAAATAATTAATACAATATAATATCAATACTATTCCTAAAATTAAAAGATTTTCAATTTTTAATAAACTTAAAAAATTTTATTTATCTAAAAAAATTATTTCATGTTCATGTTTTTTATTGCATTCTTTCACAAAATTCAGATTTGCAGAATACCAAATTTAACTTGCATCTATTATTTTTCACAAATTGTGAAATGCAGAACGAATTATATTTTATTTAAATAATTAGATTAATTACAGTTAGATGTATAAAATACTATAAATTATTATGTATAAATAAATTATTAAAAAGAAATGTACCTTTTTACAAACAACGAGCTTCTTATCGAATACATTATTTTGTTTCTGTGCCTTTGTCTTTTTTATTATATTTAATGTTTTTCATATACTTTTTTGTTAAAAAAATGTAACACTAAATTTACAATAATTAATTAATAACTGCATATATAAAATAATTATGTTACATTTGTGTAGGCTACAAAAGTGTATATTATGTAGTTTATTTTTTTACGTCTGCAAATATTTTTTGTTATCATGGAAATTTTGTTAAATTTTGAACCAAAGGGAGTGAAAATTAGTTACGTGCATATTAATTAGTTAAAATATATAGGTATTAAATTACATAAAATAAAATATGTTATATTTATTCCATTCATACTTGTATATGTACATATATTAAAAAATCAATCCAAAATATTTCGGGGTCACAGTTCCTAAATGAATTGAATATACCGTAGTACAGATATTAAATTCAGCAATTTATACTTAAGCTGAATCAAAAAGGCGGTCTTATTACAATATGGAGGCTAGGATAATTTGCATATATTGCATTCTAATTGGTAATCAACTATATAATATGTATATAACTAATAGATTACTAATCATAATGATGATATGGAAATTTATATTAAATGTGCAAACTTAAGGAACTTATGACTGGTATAAGTACATTATACCTACAGTATTACAAATACATATACATATATCAGTATACACATATTATAATTAAATATATGCATATGTATATTAAATTGTGGATATAGTCATAGTCTACTTCTGATTACTAAATAATAATAATGAGCAACTATTTGGGAAAAAAATTAAAAAAAAAATATTTTCAATTTTTGTCGCGCAAAAAACACATACATAAATATGCATATCATGTGAATCAAATTCATATGGCTAACACACATTTTTACACATTTTATGTAAAAGTTTTCACACAAAGGTGATATTCAAAAAAGAAAAAAATTCTTTTTTTTTGTCTTATTCGTCAAAATTAAAAATAAGAGATAAAAATAAAGCTAAAAAAAAATTAAGTGCCAAAAATTTTTCAAATTGAGATTAAGATTGAAACAGGGAGGATGAAATCTATTAATAAAAAAAAAAGAAAAATTTCATTATCTTCGATCCCTTTAATTATCCTATTCAATATTTCCTCACTCTTCCGTTGCACTCCTTGGTCTGCATATTTTGCATAAAAATACACAATTTAGGTTATGAATTTTAATTGCTGAATTGTGGTAGCAATCAGTAATCACTGCATTTTTAAAGTCACGTTCATAAATAATTAATTGTACTTATAAAAAAAATTATGATAAAATCAATAAAACCGTTATTGAATTCTAATATATGTTTAACATATTCCGCAATTTAAATTATATTGCTGAGTATAAATTAATTTGTAATCAGACTTACATTTTTATGCATAAATATTAAGGTATACACGCTCTAAGTTTAATTAAAAGATTAAATTATAATAAAACTAGAAAGAAAGAACAAATTTTAAATCTAATTCTCCACTTCTAGATTTTTTCAAAAGTTTTTAAAATAAAGATTCTTTGACAATTTTCTAAATTTTTTAAAAGTTACACATGAGATTATGAATCCAGAGCCGTAATGGAGCTGAAAAACATGTTAGAGCTTAACGTTAAAAAAAACGTGCTTTGAGCTGTCGCATTAAGAAAAGCACTATGGTTAACTGACACGAAAGAAGATTTAGTACTAAAATGAAGGGATTTTGGGCCTAAAAAGGTATTTCACCATACAGTGTCACCTGTTGAGCAAGAGATTGGATATTTTTCGTTCAGATGTTTGCCGCGATTTTCGGATTATTGGGATGAGAGAGGGCTTGCTAGACAAAATATGCTCTGATATAAGATGAAAAATTTTAATAAAATTTATATAATTATTGACAACGAATTTTTGTGATAAAGCACCCTATACTTTGTTGTAACATATTCAGTAGAATATTTCAAAAAGAAAATGTTGTTCTACTCATAGGAAAAATTTTGAATTATTTTTTTAATTTTTTAATTTATTTAATATATTTTAGACGGAAAATAGAAATAGAACACGATTATTTAAAAAGCAAATTTTGTGTAAAATATTTTTATTTTTATAAACAGAGTATTATTAAAATTTGTGCGTGTACCTATAGTTTACTAGATAATCAGATACTAGCAGTATAAGTCTGTAAATATTATATTATTAGTCTCTTTATTAAATTAGATTGTTATTTTTTACCTACAACAATATTTATTTTTCTAGCTGCAATTTGCCTATACATAAATGTAAAAAATTCACAAATATTTGACCTATAACATATATTTTTAGAGCATTTTAAAGTATATAGCTCAACTTAATATAAACATAATAAAAGAACATAATAAAATTACATATATACGAATTGTTTTGTTCTATAGTCTTATAAATTTTTTTTATTTTTTTAATTATAAAATTTTTTTATAAGGTTTATCTGTAAATTAAATACTAGTAAAAGACTTAATATGATTGATCAAACCCATATGGTTTGTTATATATCATATTCGCCTTTAATAATTTAGGTTTTAAGGTATTTTATTTACAATATAGACAAAATATAATTCTCATAAACGAAAATGATTAAATGATATTTCGTTATTATATCTAATTAACGTATAATTTTGCATAAATTTAGGAGAATTATAGTTAAATTTCTTGAAAAATTTACTATTACTTTATTGTATAATCCGCTCTATATTAAAATGAAATATTTATCGATATTCATATAAACCGTTTAAAATTTTAGACAAATTTGAGTTGACAATGAAGAGAAGAAAAGTAGCTCCAAAATTTAACAAAATATTAAATTTAAGATAACGGGTAATTGAAGGAGTTACAAATCGACAGCCTGAAATTTGTTTATAATTGCTGACTATTATTATTTATTATAGAAAAAATTCCTAACATTTTTGCAATTACGGAATTTAGAAAATCTTTTTGATTTGGAAAGAAGTATATGAATTCTGTGGTACCAGTACGAAACAAATAAAATTATACAAGCCAAATCCGATGGTGCAACTGTTATATCATCAAATCTGATGATATAAGCAAAAACGTGTGTTTTTGCTTATATTATTCATCTTTGGAAAAATAACATATAAAAAGAAAATGAAGAAAAAATTTATTCTGAATTCTCCAAATATTTTAGGTATATAATATATCTTATTATAAACTAGAAGCCACTAGTGCGAATCACACTAATTTAAAATATTTTTTAAAACATTAAAACAATATTAACACGTTTAGATTTATTATTATAAAAAATGTCAAATATACTTTCGTTGAGTTCCATCGTGTAACCGTCATCTGTGAGGCACTTACTTTAAGTCCCTGTATCATAGGTGTAATCCAAAAATTTAGAGAAACCAAGTATATATATAAGTAAAAGAGCTACATATATAAATTTTTTTCTAAATCTAAATTGCCAAAAATGGTAAACATTAGAAAACCTATATGCGTTGAATCATTGCTGAAGATACGAATAACTAAATAACGCAGATATAAATTTGATTACTACGGAGAAAAATAAACTAAAAATTTTATATATGTAGCTCTTTTACTTGTACATATACTTAGTTTCTCTAAATTGTTGGATTACACCTGTGATACAGGGACTTGTCGCTCACAGGTCAACACGGACTCTAC